TTTAAGTGTATCTGAAATGAGACTCACCCACAACCGAATTGGAATCGGCACCAAAGGCACATATACAGCGAGGTCCCTGCGGTATGGAGAACTTCACGAAACTCCATTGACTGGAAAAATACTTGGGTATCATCGGAAGCGATGATTCACGTTGCTTGKTGTCCTCCAAATTGAAGACATGAATGGTGCCATGATCCGAGGCCACAACAATCATTGTGGACTGATGATTGAAGTTGATGCAAAATATGTTTGCATGATTGCTGCCGCGTCGCAGCTCGGACACCTTCTTCCCGTTYTCTGTATCAAAAATGCGTATCAATGTGCCTTTCTCGCCGGCGGTGGCCAATCGAGTGCCTTGCAAATTCAGTGCAATGCAACTGATGGCCGCCTCATGGGCAATCACCTCCAATGGGGCTCGTTCGGTATTGGCAAGATCAACGATTTGTACATGACCGGTACGCCGGCCAGGGAATGCGAGTAAACTTTTGTTGCTGTGTGGACAGAGGACACACAGGCCGTTCGGATTGGCGCTGGTCTCGAACACATGCAGCTGCTGTGGCTGYTGTGTGAATGTGTACACCTTAATGACGCCCTCCAGCACGACGACAATCCGATCCCGTCTCAGGCGCACTGCTCGCACCGGCTGATTGAAGTCCAGAGATATTGCCGGTGATTTCTTGAGATCATCCCAGACAATCACCTTATTGGGCGGATACAGCGGCCGAATCCCGCCRCCGACAAGCGCMAGATAATTGCAGCGAAAGAGCATCTCAACATGGCTGAGGCCACCTGAAACACGCAAAACCCAGAGAAAACTGTGAGTCATTGTTGGGGAATTGTGGAAAGTTTTCACACACAATTAGCTAATATATCTTCGTCAAAGAAGAGAGATAGACTTGAAGGTAATTAATTCTCTGTTATAGTACTTTTAACAATTCAATTTTGGTAGCTTACATTCGAAAATTGAGACAATAAACTGATAAATTAAAAAAAATCTCTCAGCTAAGCGCAACACAAGATAGATTTGTATGATAATATTATCAATGTATGCACTTTGTAGAACATCTATTTCATATACACACACACTTACCTTCGGGAAAGTATTGGCGTTCCTTTTCTTTTAGTGGATCACAATTGTAAACTCGAAACCCGGTGTCTGTGGCACAAGCAAAACATCCTGCGGCGCAATTAGATCGGTGAATGGTCATAAACGTATATATATTTTACATATAGTATGTTTATTGCACGTTGAAAGTTCGTGTTCGTGAATATGTAAACAACAAATAAAGTAAGATGTACATACCTTGGTCCTGGTTAAATCCAGCATAAAGTAGGCCATTGCCATACGGATTCTGCTCCGTTAAGTTCATAATAATGTCGTTGCACTTTTAAGCCCAATAATGATTGAATTGTTTCCTCTACTCCAACGCACAAAGATTTTTAACTGCGTGATGATTTCTATTTATTTTTTTTATGCATTTGTACGAGGGCTGAGAGCGCATATGTCGCTGTTACGCTACCAACTTCATGGTGCTCAGAATCGCGTAAGCAGATTTTGATTTGTGATTTGCGATAGTAGTCTGTTTGGTATTTTAATATCAACTATTGGTAAAAATAGGTCTTTTGCTATTTTGTTGGTATTATTGTATGGAGTAAATTTGTGATATTTTTCAGCATTCAGTAAGCTGTCATATTGTAACGAATCGTTCTGCATTTACATTGCTATTATTTTCTGGATTCGTATTGATGACTTTGTTTGTTGCCTGGATACCAATTGAAACGGCATGGATTGTAGCGATTTAAATACTTTCGGCGACGACGACATTATTGAACCATGCCGAACGTGCGGTATTTATTTTATTTCCAACCATGCAGTTATACAGCCAATATTTACAATGCCTGGTACCGGTGACAAATCTAATGGCTTCATGAAAGAAATAGTGGAGCAATTGAATGCCTGGAATCTTGAGGTAGTACCGAAGATTGCTTGTTAGCCAACCAAATGATACAAATTCTTCCTACAGGTAGACAGGAACGACGGTCGGCCCCAGTACATATGCATTGCGTGCATTAATGAATTTCAGAAGGTGCTAAACTTTAAGCGCAGCTGCCTGGATACACAGCAGCAATTTGACGAATTGGATTGCAAGCGTGCGCACAATGGGCTTGTGATAAAAAAGGAAATTGATCCGCCCAGTGAAGAGACTAAATACTGTGAGTTCATTTATATAGACTCAGACGAAGAGGGTGGTAGCGAAGAGGATGGCAGCAGACGTGTCTGTGCTCCTTTTGACATACCCCACGTGCCCATTAAGGAAGAGCATACGGCTCGTGTCCCACAAGAGACGCAATTTAAGCCAGCAGTGCCGTTAGTTAGTAATTTGTCCGACGAGGCGACTTTTACAAAAGTCGAGCCCAATGTGCTGGCCACTGCAAATGGCTTCAACTCAGAATTGTTCGAGAGCGCGACCCCACCAAATGAGCAGCAAGATAGCGATGACGATATCATTAAGTTTACCTATGAAGATGATGAAGACGGCGCAGCGTTGGTGACGCTGCCAGCGCCAATTGAGGATCAGGGTGTCTATTGCAAGCTATGTGGACATGCTTCAGCTACACAGGAACGACACAATGAGCACATGAGTCGCATTCACATGCTTAAGGATTGCGAGTGCTACATATGCGGCAAGAAATTCGCCAATGCCCACGAATCGCGGCTCAGGTTCCACATGAAATGGCACAAATTACAGAAGCATCTAAAGTGCCCGATCTGCGGCTTCTTTTGCAATTCCAAAGACACACTGAAAGAACACAAACTAGCAGTGCATACCCGTTCCAAATGTGAATTCTGCGGCAAGAGTATGTCTAAAAATTTAATCAATTTTATTGCTAAATCTTATTGATGTTTATTTTCCAACCCACAGCCATGAAGCACAGACAGTTGCAGGCGCATCTCAATCGGCATATACAAGGTAAGCCAGCACATTTACCTATTTGAATTATATTATACATGAATTAATAATTTATTTTTTGCAGATCACGAAGAAGAACTGGCGCGCAAAATGAGTTTAATGCAGGCAATAGAAACGCCAGCCCCACCACAATCGGAGGATCTGATACAATGCGCCTTTTGCGTGAGCACATTCAACGATGCTGAAGAACTTCAGAAGCATGTGCTGTCCACACATCGAATGGCCGCTGAGGAACTGCCCGCATCGGCAGTTGAGTCAGAGCATCTGCCAGCAATTGATACATCTTCCACATTAACCGGCGAAACAGAGTTACCAGAGTTGCCAACTGTTTGTAAGACTCCGATACCAGATGCAACCAATAGTAGCCAAAGTTCAAGCAATTCTAATAGTGGACGTCAGGAGAAGTCGATGTGCCAGTGCAGCATTTGCGGAAAGCAGTTCGATTTGAAAATTAAACTTAATCGACATCTAAAGATTCATACTAAGTCACCATTCTGATGGAAAAACAAACAAGCCAGCAACGTCCTGTAATAGCAGCCTCGACTGGATAACAATATAAACTTCATGCACACATAGATTATGCCATCAAGTCACTGTGAATATTCAATATTTCATTTAGTTATAATTACCAGATCCTAGAATAAAAATTAAACTGCGAGACAAATTTGATGTTAGATAACAACAATCGTTATGCTAATATCATATATTAATTAGTGGGCAGGCAGCTTTCGCTTCTTCGAAATATAAATCACATGCCCAACTCCTGAATTCTCATATAATTATACGAAGCAAAATTTGTAATGTTAAACTTTTTGCTTAAAATCGTAAATTACATAATGTTAGCTACTATGTATAGTAATATATATGTATATATAAATGATAAATGTTAAATCCAAACAACTGGTTATGTAAACAACGTAGTTTTAACAAGCCTCTGCCAAATGCGTTCTTCACTTCACTTCCTTCAATTAATTGCCATGCCCTCCGCTGGCCGTCTTCAGCACAGCGGCGGGCAACAGTTTTGTGTTTAACGCTTTGCCAGCTACCGCATCAACAGTTGCCGTCGTTACATTGCTCAGTTTAACGCCACTGCCGGCGCCGACGGTTGCTGACGCCGTGGACATGGGTATCACCTTCATATTGGACAATGGCTTCAGATTGACGCCCTGCAGTCCGGGCGTAAAGAACAATTGGCCGCCATTGTTTTGTACGGCGAATACCAGATTATTGGCAGGAGTTGTGGTGGTTGTGGCTACCGTTGATGTGGTGCTCACATTGCTGCCACTGCTACTGGTAGCGAGTAGAACATTCTTGCCCAGACGTAGAGTCTGCGTCGCACCAGCGCCAATCAGCAGAGTTTTGGGAGCAGTAGCAATGGCGGTGGACGTGCTGGGCTGGCTGCTGTTGCTGATGCTGGTCGTGTTGCTGCTGGTGGCGAGGCGGAGCAACTGATTGCCCATGATGACCGTTTGCATAGGTCCACCTGAAGCATTACGCGCGGGAATAGTCTGCAATGAATAATGTGCATGTTACTGATGCGTCTCGAAGTTAAGTAATGCATGCCATATGCTTACCGTTCCCTGTAGTTTCACCGTCTGCCCGCCAATCACAATATTTTGCGCTGTCTTTAGCCCAGCGACGCCGCCGCCGGTGGTCAGCGTGGTGGCCGTGCTCGTTTGTGTGCTAACCACTGCAGCGCCGCCCAGCTTCAGCGTCTTGGCGGTCAGTAGCAACGGCTTTCCGGACATAACTGTCGTCTTGCCTATGATTTTTGGCACCATTGTCGCATGGCCGCCGGTAACAATGCGCGCCGTGGCCGGCAGCTGCTTCGTCGTGGCCAACTGCTGCTGCTGCTGTGGTTGTTGTTGTTGCTGCTGCTGCTGGGCCTGGGTCTGGGAGTTGGGCGTCAGCGTTATGACATTGCCACCGGTGGCCGTTGTCGCCAGCTGTATGAGCTTGCCAGCATTTTGCTTCTGCAACAGACTCTCCAGCGTCACTATGTGACCAGATTGCGTTGCTGTGGATGTGCCAGCCGATGTTGTTGCCGCCACTGGACTCGTGCGTATGATACGCGTTGTTGCCTGCGATGTGGCAACAGCGACAGCAGCTCCAGATGCAGCACCAGCTCCTCCTCCTCCTCCTGCTGCTGCTGTAGATATAGGCTGCTTGAAGCTCTGCAATACAATGCGCTGCTGCTGTGGCGAGAGATTCGCGGTGGCCAATGGTTTGGCCTGCCCAGTCACTGTGCTGAGTATTTTAGGTGCCGCTTTTGGAAGCGCCTGGAACACAATGTTTTTGTTCGATGATATTGCCGTGTTGCCTGTACAGAAGACAATTAATTAGCAATATATTTATGAATTGAAATATTGGGCAAGTCCCAAGCACTAACCTACGAGGATTCTCTGCTGCGGCTGTTGTTGTTGTTGCTGCTGCTGTGGTTGCTGCGACTGCTGTTGCTTCTGCTTCAATTGCTGCTGCTGCAGAGTGGCAAACGCCTGCGGCGACATCTTTACAATGGTGCCCGTGCCTGTGCCCGTTTGCGAGCCACCAGATGCGGCATTGGGGATCGTACCGCCACTGGCGGACGTCGCAGGTTTACTGTTGACAATGGAAACACCGCCAATCTTCTGTTGCAGTGGCCGAACTGTTGTTTGTGCGAGCATGCGTGGTCCAAGTATTTGGACCGGTGGCGTGGGTCTGACCACAGTCGGACTTCCGGGCAGCTGCACAACCGAGGGCTTGCTAGCAGCTGGACTGGTCACGCCGCTAGCGGGTAGCAGGCGTATAATATTTTTAGGCATTTGTTGGCGTGCGGGCGAAGCTTTGTTGGGCTGGCTGAGTTGTTGCTGCTGTTGATCCAATGGCAAAATGAAGCTGCCTGTTGATGAAGCTGCTGTTGCTGTGGCTGGTGCCTGGGTCTGCGTGGGCGAATTGATGACAATGGGCTTCTTGATGGTCACCTTTTTGTTGGGCGTGGCGGCCACATGAACAGTTTGTAAGCCGCTGGGCGTGGACACCAGTATGGGCGTGGTATTACGCGTGGGACTGCTGTTCTGCCCCACTTGCTGCTGCTGCTGCTGGAGAGCTTTGGGTGAGGTTTTCAGCAGCTGAACAGTTCCAGATCCTGGCGACCTCTCCAGCAGCGTCACTACGCCGCTGCGCTGTGTGGGCTTGAGCAGAGATTTCTGTGTTGTCGCCAGCTGTTGGGAGGAAATGACGGCGTTACCACCGGATGCCACAGATCCGGCAGGCGGCACATGATATTTGAGCGGCGGCACTGGCGGAAATTTCACCTGCAATGGTAGCGTGGATGACTGCGCATGCTTCTTGATCATAACAGCTGTGGGATTCGACGTGGTTGATGTTGCCACTGTTGACGTTGCATTTGTTGTGGCTGTGGAAGCTGCCACCAGGGCGGGCAGCTCCTGTGGACACTGATCAACTGCTTCATCCTTCTTTGGCTTATTGTGCTTGCGCTGCTGCTGTTTCTGCTTGACAATCGTCTGATTCTGGCGGTGCATGCGCTCAAAGTCCGCCTCGCTGCGATTGCGATGCAAATAGATCCAGATCTTGCGCCGTGCATCATAGCGCACACACGGATCTAGGCCACCATGCATTCGATCCAGCGCCCCGCTTACGATCGTCTGCAGCACGTTCTCTGCCGCCTGCCGATTGATGAACTGTGAGCACTTCAGCAGCTCCGATATTTCTGACCGAGTGCCCTCGCCGTTGGGCAAGCGCGCCGTGGCATCGCGCACCAGCGTCAGGATGGTCACATAAGGCGGCCTATCGTCCACCATGACGGCATGGCCTCGTGCCTTGTTTAGGGCCAGGCTCTGCGTATAAATGCCCTTCACGGGACCCACAACGCTCTCGTAGCCGTGCATGCGATATGTGAAGGGGCGATGCGGTTGGTCGAAGCGCAAACGTTCCTGTCGCTGGAACTCCAGCATCTCCGATTGAGTAGCCACACGCACCGCCCAACTGGTGGGGCAACGTGGCGGTGGCGTGGGCGTCACATCGAGGGCAGCAACGGGACTTAATTGTTGATGTGGTTGCTGTTGCTGCTGTTGCAGCGGCAACTGATCCATTGTCGCTGTGTCTTCTTTGCATTGCTGCAACCAATACTGGCAGAGCGTTTGCAGGCGCGCATCCGAGTCGCGGCCAGCGCCAATCCACTGATATATGTTCAGCTGTGTTTTGTGCTCAATGTAGGGCACATATTCCGCAGGCAGCCCAACAAAGTCGCCCGACAAGAAGCTAACAGCCGATTGCAGTAACTGCGTCCATTCGTTGGGCAGCAGCCGCACCCAGTCGGGCAGCCCACCTGCAGAGTTATCTGTGCGCCACTTGAGCAGCTGCGACTGCAGCTCCTGGTAGGTCAAACGATGCTGCGGCGTGGATACAAACAGATCCCTCAGAAGCGAAAAGTAGCAGCCATGTGAACGCTGTGTGACCGATGCTGTTGTGTGATCTCGGGTGGGACTGCCAGTGATATGGGCACCGGCCTTGATTAGCGCCCGGGGCGAGTTGCTGCTGAACACGGCACGGGCCACAATGGGCTCTAGTTTTGGCAATTGCTGGGCAAGCGCAACGACAGCAGCCGGCGCCATTGCCTTGGACATTGGCTTTCTTATCTCCGGCTGTTCTTGCAATTCCTGTTCCAACTCGTCCTCATCCGGCTCGAACGCAGCGCGCCCATAAAGCTGCTGCGGCTCATCAGTGAGTAGCTCGGCAACCGGCTCCACCTGCTTGACCTTGCCGCCAATAGGCACCAGGGCGGGAGGCTCAGTCACTTGCTGCTGATTGAAGCGCGCCATCAAAGCCTTGGGCTTGCGTCCTGGCTTAAAGTTGCCCACGAACTGGGCGCGCGTGCAAATGTCACGCAATCGTATGTCAGCGGTATCAAAGTCAGGTAATTGCTGAAAAACAAATAAACATGTTTTACTTTCTCTCTATTGAATACGGGAATTATGATTGGCGATTGATTGATTGATTGACAAATTACCATCAGGATATTTCATTATTCCACTACGCTGACAGTAGGCAATGGGCTTTACTCACCGGGTGCTGAAGTTTCCGTCGCTTATAGTCGCGTAAATACTTTTTAAAGTTTTTCTCGTTGAGCGGCTGGATCCTGTCCGACTGCATGCTGCGCAGCACTTGCTCATCCTCTAGGCCGGGGCGGCGTTTGAAGAAGGTACTGTAAATGCATTTCTTGTCCGCCGCATTTGAAGGTCGCGTACTCGTTTCCACCTTTAGTTGGCGCTCCTCGGCAATGATTGCCAATTGGGCCGCTTCTTCGTCCTGCTCGTCAGCGCTGATGTCGCCAGGCTGTAAGTTCAGTTCACGTGCTAGCTGCACGAGCTCCTGGCAGTACCGCTTACGTGCACGCTCCACGCAGAACTTGTTCTCTCTATTCAGCGTGGGCGTTTTACGTTTGCGAGGACGTGGCTGAACTTTAAATGTATCACCATCAGTCGAAGGTGGGGCCATGGTATAGACCTGTTGCAGCAATTGCTCGCGGGATAGAAATAGTTCCTTGGCCAGCCGACTGAGGCGCTCGGCTTTCTGGAAGCGGCACTCTCGTCTTTGTGAACGCTGAATGCTTTGGCGCAGTTGCAACACATCAGGTCGTAGGTTTCCTTCTTCTAGCTGCCGTTGCAGCCGCAATAATGGAGACTGCCCGAAGCGTTGAATACCACCATTGAACAGTTGCAACAGAGTCCTTTGCTGTTCCGCTGCTGCCTGCGCCGGCGCCAGAAACCCTGCATAGCTGGGCAGCAGGGGCTGCAGGCGTGCCTGCATATTGTTGGGAAGCATTTGCCAGGTCTCGACTGAAAAGAATTCATGGAAAATTCGCGCATTTTCACAGAGTCCGCGGGGCAAGCGAAATACATGACGATCGTCAAATTGCGCCAGCTCCAGCTCATCGGATTGGGTGGTGGTGGCATCATCCGAATCGGTATCGGTGTGCGTGTCCTGATCCGTGGCGTCATCATCATCATCGTCATCGTCCTCATCGCTAGAGTTGTTATTAGAACTGCTTTCCGTTTTTCCGCTGCTGCTGGCGGCGCTGCTGTTACTGCTGCTGCAGTCGCTCAACTGACCACCATTGTCATTGATGTTGTAAGACCCGCTGAGCTCCTCCTCCTCTTCTTCGGATTCCGGGTATGGCATGCTGCTGTTGCTGATATTGTTGCTATTGTTGTTGCTCATAGCTACTTGAGGATTTTTTTAGTCGTATTAACGCAATTAATGAATGCAGCTTTGCTTCTATTCGCACACTGGGCAAATTTTTTCTCTACACTGATTTATAATTTTGGTCTCTTCCGCTGCCTCGTTATATCAAACATATTTGCTGCTTGTTTTCCTCTTTTTTATTACTTTTGCTTCTTCGGCTGTTAGCATGTTTTCTGTGCGTTTTTTGGTGTTTTTCTTCGCTTCGTATTTTCGGCACGTGTTGGCAGGGCCCAACACTTGATCTAGGGTCTGGCAGCACTGCGAAAAAATAAAAATAAACAGCTGGTGCTACATGGATATAAATTGCAATAAATTTAATTAAATTAATTCATATAACTAATATCAGAAACATTCACCATTATGCTAAGTTAGGCTTAATCCTAAATCTAAAGGGTTCTTTAGGCACTACACTTTTAAATTGAAGTGGATTAGATAGCAACACACTGTTATGTATTTATCATATTGAAGCTGTGATTCGATTTATGAGAAAAGGTTTAAATTTTATAAATAACTTGCGCATATTAATTGTTAATTATGAATTTTTATGGATAAATAAAAGTTGTATTTTGCTATGCGATTAAAAGTCACGATGTGAATAGGTAACCGGTTACCGGTAAGAGAATATGGTCCGTCTCTACTGTCGGCGCTAGAGTTGCCTTTGCCACTATTTACATCTGTGTGCTTGTGTGCTGTGTATACCAGCAAATAAAATTTTTAGCGGCGGTGCTGGCAATCCAATGCTACTACATTATATTAAACATTTTTAATTGTTCTTGATTACTAAGTGACATTTATAAAAAGCTTATAAATGTGGGGTGTGAACATTGAAAATGCAATGCGGATTTCAAATGCAAATGAAAATTCGCAATAGGTAAGTGGCGCATTACATGTGTTTGTATGTATGCGCATGTGTGCGTGAATTGCCAAGTGTGTGTGAGTGCGGTACGCGTCTGCCAAAAAGCGCGGCGGAGGAATGTTGAAAAAATTAACAAATTTTGAATTTTAGACAATGTCGCAGTCGTATTTAGGCACACAATAAAAGTGAAGTTTAGTGAAACTAGCATAAACTTGTTAAAAGTACTTAAAATATCAAAGCCATCGAAAAGAAGAGCATATCGAAATTGAAAGGAAAGGAAAATTGTTAATGAAGAAAGAAGAAGCATAGTGCAACAATACCGTCGCTGCGAATGCAGCTCTGAATTTTTAGTATGCCTAGAAAAAGTTGCAACAAAGAGACAATTAATTTCTGCTCAATTTTCTTCTCTTTTTGTTTTTTGGTTTTTTTGTTTTGTTTTGTACTTATTTATTTTGTTATACGATATAGCTTTTTTGATATTTGAGACGTAGCGCACTAAAGCTTGTAAACGCTGTTACCTATGGGAGAGGAAAAGTCAGACTCTCGGGAGACATTTGTTGCAACCTTGATCAATCCACTTGATGCTGACAACAGCAACAGCAATAGCAGCAGCAACGACAACAGCAACAGCCCCGGAGCTAACAGCAACGACAAAGGCAACAAAAGTGATCAAGCACACGCTAAGAGCAAAAAATGTTTAAAAACTGAGCAGCCAGAGATAAGTGACACAGGCAACAATGTCAACGAGAATTCAACAAAAAAAGCAACTACTGAAGCGAGCAACAAAACTGGCAGCAGTAATGGCATTAACGAAAAAAGCGAACCAACTGCAACAACAAAAGCATCAGCAGTCGATGCACTAGTCGCCAATCAAAGCGTAGCAGACGCCAAGCCAGCATTCAAAATAAGTATTGTGCCACTGGAGAAACTGCTGGCAGAACCAAACAAGAAGAGCAGTAGCAATATCAGCACCAGCCCAAGCAGTAGTCCAAGCACCAGACCATCTAGAAACGCCGCCGTCGCCGCCGCCGGCAAACTAACCGTACAAGCAAATAGAACGAATACTAATTTAAGGCCAGCCTCTGTGTTGCCGCCACGGCAAACTCGCAATAAAAACGTATCGATTATCGAACTGAGCGACGAGGAATTAACTGACGAAGACGAAAGAATTGTAAGTCCTAGAAAATCGACACGCAATAGGCGCATCACATCCTCGTCTTCGGATCAAAGCAGAGAGCGGGCTCAGCAGCTCCCACCAGCGACCAAAAAGAGCTTGCTCTCTAAGCTGCTGATTGATAGCGATAGCGGGGCAAGCGACGAGCCGACGTTCAAGGTGCGTCGCTGTGTGGTGCGTTTGAAGCGCGTCAAGTTGCCTACTGCAGCGCCTATATCAAGGGAAGCTGCATCATCGGCAGTTGCAGAAAGTGCAGCATCAGAGAGTGCTGCGTCGGAACGAGCAGAGTCAGAGGGTGCAGCATCTGAGACTGTAGCAACAGCAACTGCAAAGGAAGCGAACGCAAAGCGCAAGATGAGCAGTGATTCAGAGCAGGAAAAGGCGAGCACCTCGAAGCGCAATCGCCGGAATAGAAAGGCCAGCGATAACAATTCCGATTACAAAACAGCCGATGAGGAACAAGCCGAATCAGACCTGGATAATAAAGATAACTCCGATGAGGATGGGGAGGCTAGCGCACAAGCCGAAGATGGCCAGAGCAGTGCCAGTGAGGTGATGCCACAACGCAAGCGTCGTAATTTTGGCAAAAAAGATGACGGCTCCGCACAGGACTCGTCCGACTTCGAGCCCGAGGAGAAGAAGAAAAAGAAACGTAAACGGATTAAAAATAACTCTAGTGGCGACAGCGACGATGGCGATGATGAGAAGAACAAGAACAAGCGTAAGCATATACGCAAAATAATCAAGACTAAAGATTTGGATTTGACCACCAAGGAGGCGGCTAAAGAGGAAGAGGATCGTCGCAAACGCATCGAAGAGCGCCAAAAGCTCTATAATCGCATCTTTGAGAAATCGGAAAGCGTTGAAATTAGCGAATTGATCCTTGACTTTGATGAGGAGTCCAAGAAGGCGCTGCTTCAGGTGGACAAGGGTCTGCTCAAAAAGCTAAAGCCTCACCAGGTAGAGGGTGTGAAATTCATGTGGGATGCCTGTTTTGAGACGCTCAAAGAAAGCGAGCAAAAGCCCGGCTCTGGTTGCATCTTGGCCCATTGCATGGGTCTGGGCAAAACCTTGCAGGTGGTCACATTATCGCACACGCTGCTCGTCAATACGCGACGCACTGGCGTAGAGCGTGTGCTGATCATCTCCCCATTGAGCACCGTTAATAACTGGGCCCGCGAGTTTGTCCATTGGATGTCTTTCGCCCATCGGCGCGACATTGAGGTCTATGACATTTCACGCTACAAGGACAAGCCGACTCGCATCTTCAAGCTGAACGAATGGTTCGAAGAGGGCGGCGTCTGTATACTGGGCTACGATATGTATCGCATATTGGCCAACGAGAAGGCCAAGGGCTTGCGCAAGAAACAGCGTGAGCAGCTGCAACAAGCACTAGTCGACCCAGGCCCCGACCTAGTGGTCTGCGACGAGGGACATTTGCTAAAAAATGAGAAGACATCCATTAGCAAGGCGGTCACCCGCATGCGGACCAAGCGCCGTATTGTGCTCACCGGCACGCCGCTCCAAAATAATCTCAAAGAATGTAAGTAACTGCATATATTCCTATTATTTCTACCATTATTACTTATTATTACTACTTCTGATCCTACATCCATAATTATATTACTATAACTATTTCAATTATTAATGTTACTTTTACTACTACTATTTGTACTGTTTCGTCAGGACATCTACTACCAATGTATACAATATTTGTACTGATAATCTGCAACTTCTATTGATATTCTTTATTAATTTAATTATTCTTTCTTTAATTTATTTATTTATTTCATTTTATTTAGACTATTGTATGATTCAGTTTGTGAAGCCAAATTTGTTGGGCACATATAAGGAATACATGAATCGGTTTGTAAATCCGATTAGCAATGGCCAGTACACGGATTCTACGGAGCGCGATTTGCGATTGATGAAACATCGTTCGCATATCCTGCACAAGCTGCTTGAGGGCTGTATTCAACGTCGAGATTACTCTGTGTTGGCGCCTTATTTACCGCCGAAGCATGAGTACGTCGTATATACGACACTTTCGGAGCTGCAGCAGCAGCTATATGGCTACTATATGACAACGCATCGGGATCAGGGTAGCTCCGATATTTGCGGCAAGGGAGCACGTCTGTTTCAGGACTTCCAGGACTTACGTCGCATTTGGACCCATCCTATGAATCTGCGCGTGAACAGCGATAATGTTATTGCAAAGCGTTTGCTAAGCAACGACGATTCAGATGAAATGGAAGGCTTCATCTGTGATGATTCCGAGGAGGAAGATGTAGCGTCTAACTCATCAGAGAGTGCTGAATCGTTCAAATCGGATGCTAGCTTAACCATGGTCAGCTCAGATGCCGCGGGCGGCACTAAAGTAAAGGGTCGTAAGACACGCAACGGTGTACGCTCTGGCTTGGTTGATAGCGATTCGGATGCGGAGTGTACCGGTGGTAGTGCAGCTGTTCAGAAGGATGATCCCTCCGAATGGTGGAAGCCTTTCGTTGAAGAGAGGGAGCTAAACAATGTCAATCATTCCCCCAAACTGCTAATTCTGTTGCGTTTATTGCAGCAGTGTGAGGCAATTGGTGACAAGCTGCTCGTCTTCTCCCAATCCTTACAATCTTTGGATGTCATTGAACATTTCCTCTCATTGGTGGACAGCAACACTAAGGGCTATGAATTTGAAGGTTAGTCTTTTGTTTTTTTGTTTTCCTCATTACACAAGCTAACAATTCCTTTTTAGGTGATGTTGGAAACTTTAAGGGTTGCTGGACACCTGGCGAGGATTATTTTCGTTTGGATGGGTCCTGCAGTGTGGAGCAGCGTGAATCTATGTGCAAGAAATTTAATAATGCCAGCAATTTACGTGCCCGTCTCTTTCTCATCTCAACACGTGCCGGTGGATTGGGCATCAATTTGGTGGCCGCCAATCGCGTGGTCATATTTGATGTCTCATGGAATCCCTCGCACGATACGCAGAGCATCTTTCGTGTGTATCGTTTCGGGCAGGTGAAGCCTTGCTATATATACCGCTTGATAGCCATGGGTACCATGGAGCAGAAGGTTTATGAACGTCAGGTGGCCAAGCAGGCAACGGCCAAGCGTGTTATCGACGAACAACAGATCTCAAGGCATTACAATCAAACGGATCTAATGGAATTGTACACTTACGAGCTCAAGCCGAGCGTTGAGCGCGAGATGCCGCTGCTGCCCAAGGATCGTCTGTTTGCTGAGCTTTTGACCGAACATGAGAAATTGATATTCAAGTACCATGAGCACGACTCACTGCTGGAGCAGGAGGAGCACGAAAATCTAACTGAAGAAGAGCGTAAGTCCGCATGGGCCGAATACGAGGCCGAGAAGACGCGCGCCGTTCAGGCATCTCAATATATGAGTTATGATCGCAATGCCTTTGGCGTCCAGATGGCCAATCAATTTGGCAATGCGTCGGGCAGCGTTACATCCAATAAGATATTTGGCTTCCGTTCGGATATCTTATTGCAGTTACTCAACATGAAGATATCTAAAGATCATCCGGAGTTAACACAAAATCAAGTCATACAACTGGTGCCAAGCTATTTGCAGCAGTTGTACAATGAGATGAACAACGGGGATCCAACCATGTACAAGGATCTCTTACAGCTGCATACGCACATTGTGCACCCCAGCGGCATGTATATGAATCCCTTGCTCTATGCTAATCAAAACCCATCGGCAGCGGGCTACACTCAACCAACCGGACAGCCAGCTGGTGGCGCTGTACCTGCGCCTACCACTGCCAATCCCCCAGGATTTGAAGCGGACAAGGTATACGAGATTGACTAGATTGCATCCTCACAAAGTCCAACCATATTCACAGACCCAAATCGACTCATGCTCTAGAGGGGAAGGTAGAGTTGGGATTCCGGTTGCTAGATTGGGATTCAATTGCTTGGCGTGCTGTCCCCAATCCAACATTATATACATACATATGTTGATTATTTTTTTTCGATACGATTTAATGTTAGTTAATTGACGTCTTTATTTTCATATTGAGAACAAAAACAAAACAAAAAAAAACAAAAACAAAAGGAAGAATTTGTTTTTATGCGTTCATGAATATAGCCCAAGCATAACTTTATATAGTTTGTACGCCTCAGTTAAGTTAAAAACTGTCCTAATACATTTAGATATACATTAGATATCGATACCAATTCACATACACACTCATACATACATGCACACACACACCTACACATAAGCGAGCAAACATATAATGAGTTATATACATAGATATATTAGCTATTATACGCGATCTTTGCTAAGGTCTACAAAATTTAAATACACACGCAGTAAAATAAAAAACAATAAATGGCACAGAATACGATAAATAGTTAATTTCGTTTTTTCTGCAAATCAGTCCTCCAGGAAAATTAACAGTTTATTCCATGTAATTGACAAGTTTCCAGAGAAGACATTGATGAGACCAGAATGCTGGATTCACCATTTTCGGCAGCATTTGAGTGTTGTTTATTAAAGGTTTGTATGACTTAATCCATAAATTATATTCTACATATGTATAATAATAATCACTTAGGCGGTAGTTTGCCCATCATACGCATTTGCATTTGTTGGGCCTGCAATAAATGCTGCTGGCTTCCAGGCATTTGACCGGATGGCATACCACCTGGTGGCATACCGCTCATTAGGCCGGGACGTGGTCCTGGTCCACCTAGAGGTGGCATACCGCCGGGACATGGGCCTGGCATCATGGCAGGGCCAGGACGAGTGTGCACGCCTTGTTGTATGTCGGATAAACAAGCCTTCCACTCCTCCAAGCGATTATAATGCTTCTGCAACAGCGCCTCTTTACGTTGTATCTCAATACTTAGATCTTGATTCTCGTCCTTGATAAGCATATATGGCTTCAGAGTGGAGACAAGGAATCGCTTTTGCAGAAAGAATGCTTCCATTTGGCGAGCCACATCAATAAAGCGATTTGTTGTCTTTTGCACTTCCAACTCAATTTCCTCTTTGTTAGTGCCGGAGTTGGGTTCTTGTTTGGTTAGCGAAAGCAGACAAGACTGAAACGCTTCTTCAAATTCGTCCATTAAATTGCCGCTACCATTTTCGTTATTTGGCGTAGACATGTTTCTTCTTTACTTCGTAGATTTAAGTTTTGTTTAAGAGTATAATTTGTTTTATCCCGATGTAAACAATTATTCAGCGGTTGCAAAATAAAGCCGTCTAGCGAGTACTAAAAAATACCGGAAAATAATTCATTGATACGGCATCACTGCTTATCGAATAAAAACATGCCAAATTAATACTTTTCTGTCTAGGATGCAATATTTCGTGAATTAGAAAAGTTTGACTGATAAAGTTATGCTGACCGTTTAGTTCTTAAATATTTTGCTATGCTATGAGTGAAATTAGACAGTAGATAAACAGCTGTGTGCTAATCGATAAGTATAGATATATCGATAATTTTGTTTGTCGCAATCACCCTATTGTTACCATAATATCTTGGCTGCTGAATTAATGTCAGTTTTAATAAAAGGAAAATGAGAGCACATCTTATAATAAGGAGCTTGTACACAGCACAATGGGGACTTTTGGCTCGCGTACCACGCCGTGCCAATCCCGGCATGGCGTATCAGCTGCAAGATTTGCAACAGCAGGCGTCCGAGGCGAGTGAGGATTATGCTGACAATGAAGCGGATTTTACGTCCTCACATAAGACACATCGTCAATACGAGGCACAGCAGCAGCAACATCGAGATCGTGTGCGCCAGTTTATGATTAAACACAAATATTTCCGTGATGCCAAGCTGCCAAATTTCCTGCTGTACGCAGAAAAGGAGCAAATGCGTCTACTTCACGAGCGCGATGCAGAGGAATGGAGCGTTGAGCGGCTGGCTGAGAGTTTTCCGGCCACTCCGGACATTGTACAGAAAGTGTTGCGCTCCAAATGGCGGCCACAGAGTGTGGAACGCATACGCTCCCATGATGCCAGCGTCATGAATAATTGGTCAAGATTACGCTCTGGCAAATGCACCGAGCTGCCGGCTGAGCTGCTGCAGCATCTGCAAAAATTTGCAGAACGCCAGCGACAAGATCTCCAACAGCTTTCTCCAGAGCAGTGGCCAACGCGGCCGGAGCTACCATTACCCGAAAAAACAGAATTTCGCGCCTTGCTCGGCAGCAAACCCAACAAGCAGCTCACAACGGGGACACCTACCCAGCAAATAGAGACTAGGATAATGCCTCCTTCTGAAGCTGAAGACGAAACTTTTCTGCTGGACAAAGTACAAAACAAGCGCAATATGCGCTTGCAGGAGCTAAGACAGTCACGGCTAGTGCCTCAGGAGGAGCAAAAGAAAATTCTGTTGGAGCAACCGCTGCCTAATCCCAGCGGAACGGGCGTGCTACCCAGTTTTGTGCAGAAATTTGAGCGCACTGAAATTGTGGTCAGTGTTGAAGATCAGCGTAAATACGAGATGAGCAAAGTGAAGGATCGCATAGTTATACCACGCAAATTATATCGAGAAGGAGCCACATATCGCATAGAGGATGCCTATTACGATGATGATGGGGAGTTTCTATATCGAGTGCCTGGTATGACGGGCGGCAATCGATGATCAAATGCTATATAAAACAGCCCTTTATTAAAAGGACCATTGAGTTATGTAACATATGCCATTTGTGTCCTTAGAAAGATTGACTTTATGATAAATAATGTAACAATGAGTTATAATAAGTAAAACGATTTACTACAAAAATATAAACATATAAACTTTGATAGTTGTAGATTCAGTGATTGAAGGCAGCAGCGATAAGATCGCTTCCCGCCAGTAGTGTATCGGAGGCAACAGTTATTTGGGCGCCAGTTAGTTTGCTCACAAAATCACAGGCTGCAATCTCCGCATAATTCGCGCCTCCCACTACAAACACAAACAAGCTGCGCAGGCGTAGGGGAAAGACATCTGCATTTTCCGTTGATGCCGTTTTTAAGTGTGCCGCATAGGCTTTGGGAGTGCTAGCTTGTGCGCCCACGTGCACCTGCAGGCCTTCGATCATGGCCAGCTTTGTGGCCAGCTGCTCACTGCTGGTAGCATTGAGGAGCATGGAACAGAGCTGTGCTGCGAGCGGTATGTACATGCCATTGAACACAAAGCTGGGACAGGACTTGATAGCTGGATGACCACTGGCACTGCCAGCCGCTGCAGGCTGTTCCGCGTCCGCACACGACGTCAACAGTTTCAGGCGGTTGGCATTGGCTTGAAATTCGGTTTGTTGAAACTTGGGCAGTGGCAAGTTGGACAACAGTTTGGCCGATGTCTTGCGTTCCGGCAGAAGTACCGGTAACAGGCCTGCCTGTGCCAGCTGCTGGAACACGCACAGCTCTCGATGGCCAAACATATTGCAATAATTCCGGGCAAAGCCTTGCAGTTCCTCGGGCGCAACGCCTGCGCATAAATGCAACAGGCAGAGCAAGCGCAATGTATTGTAACGCTGTCCGTCCGTTGTCAGCAATTCATCGATCTCGGTGAGCAAGCGTTTGCGTGATACATTATTGAGGATGTCCTCTTCAAGTGTTTGAAGCCGGCGGAAATTGCCCAGCATTTGTATGACAATCTCAGAGGCGTTCAGATGACGCAATACTTTGGCCTTCAGCTCTGTTAGCTTGGGCAGTTTACGTGCCACATAGTCGTGCATTTCCTCCAACTGCATGTCGTTGAGCTTCTGCAGCTCTAGCCCCAATGCCTTTACTTGGGCGCGCACCAAGCTGCTGGCTTGCGCAAAATGTTTGTATCGATTGTCGCCGTAGATCTCATCACAGGCGGAGTTCAGACGGATGCAACTGGGCTTGCCTTGATTGGTGGAATATTCTGTTTTGCTCTGGAGCAAGTGCAATTTTTGACTACGTATTTTGTTGTTGGCATTGTCTACGACAATCTCGCCGGCGCGCAGCTGGAACACCTCCAAAAGCAGGCCAGCATAAATGGCAGGCGTTAGCAATGTTGATACGTAGTCCTTATCTCTGTCCATTATTAGCCAGGCGCCAAAGTCGGGTGGGTTAAGAGGCTGAGGAACTGTGCCCAGCGCCTGCAGCAAATGCATCAGTTGCGTCGAGTGATTGCCAAAGGTGAGCGTCACAGCAGGTTGGCCGCAAATCATTTGCAACAGACGCAAGCTTTGCGCCATTGCAGGCAACGCAGAACTGTTGCCTTGCAGATAGAGGCACTCATAGAGCTGTGCGGGTGGGAATGGGAATTATAATTTGGCTGTTAATTAATGGATTAACTCACATTCGGTAGCTCTAGGCTAAGCACACCTTGGTCCAGATATATAAAATCCCAATTGTAATGATGCAGCTGCACCAGGCCACACAATCCCGCCTGTTCGAGCAGCGCATGGAAATAGGCATAGCAGCTGGGCACGCAAATGATGTGAAATGCACGCAATTCCAAGTCCGGCGACTCACTAGATGTCTGCATTGCCAGTGGCTGCAGTTGCCGGAGTAGCGTTTGATAGGTGCCCAGTAGACTACGAATCATATAAATGTGCACCTGGTCGTCGGCGCGGGGCAGACGTTGTTTAGCATCGTGCTTGTAAATGCGCTGGATTCCCTTCAACCTGTAGGAAGTGAGGTGTTACCGACAACTGCTAATTGCTTCATGTGGACATACTCACTTCAGCCAGGAAGCGGTGCATACGTGCTCCAGCGGCTTGATCAGTTCTGGCTCCAAGATGAGTTCTTTCTTGCCCGGTATGGAACATAGTATAGCCTGCAACTGCAGCGACCACACAATAATTTATATTTTCGGATTTTTACTAATAAATGAATTGCTGCGCACAAACCTTTTCCTGCGCTACCAGTTGAAATCCTTGCAGTTTCTTCTCCAATGTAACATCCATTTGAGAGAATATGTCTGCGATAGCTTTTATACTTTCGGCTTATCGATAGTTGCATCGGACCAATAACAATTTTCGATAAAGCGTTAATTTGTTTAAACAATTTTCAGAAAATATAATTGAAGCCTGTTATTGAATACGTTTAATATAAGTTCAGGCATAGTTGCCTTAATATCTATTTTAATTTATTCTATTTTGAATTGGTCCGTTTCAATTACATGATTATTTATACATATACATATGTATATATACCTATATGATAAACATTCCTACTGAATATCCAATTAAAAAACAATTACCTATGTGTGTATGTGGTTTGATTGCTATGATTAATTCGTTGCAAGCATTTCCATGAATTTAGGCACTTGCATTAGACTATGCAAAAGTTGATTTGTTGTTACTGATGCACCTCAATTGCATTATCTACTTGATAATATACATATATATATAAGCTTCTAAAAATATCAAATACATATTAATTAAAAATACATGGAAGACATATGGTAGTACCTTTTATTCTGTGGTACTTGAATTGCTTTATTTTAGAAAATCATGAAATGACTTTTTCGATGAGCTTTTAAGCTTTGGAATTTTTTTTATTTTTTTTTTCAAATATTAGTGATATTAGCTTGTAACAGAACTGCATAAAGAGCTTTAGAGTCAAGAATAAATAATAGCGTTAGGTCAGGTACTTGAAATCTTTGTAGTTTATCTTATCAATACCCAACTATAAAGTGCTTTCAAGTTGTTTGTAATGAATATACAATATATAATTGTGAAAATATAATAAGTGAAAATATGAAAAAATGTTTCAGTCAGCAATAAGGGCCTATTCATATTAACCATTTCTATAACCATTTTTTATAGAATTTAAATATATGATTGAAAAATGTTTTAGCTCAAAATACTCACATATAAGGCTTCAACTTGGGTAACTATTTATAAGCGTCCACTTTTATTTTTATTTATTTTTTAATTAGATGTATGTATACTCAGTATACTATAAAAAAGAAATATGCAATTGAAAATATCAGAACAAAATGCGGCTCATTCAGTATTAGCAAGATAGTGTGGGCATGTAAAGCTTTTGGCTGAATCGTTTAAATAGCCTTGATTGCTATGCGGAAGCTCAGTTTCAGTTGATTCGTTATTTCGTTCGCTTGGAATTCTAATTATAGTATAGTTACATTGCAAATATAATGTCATCGACAAACGAGAATATTGACGCGAATGCCGATGAGTTGGTAGCACCCGGCTGGCTAAATGCGCAGTTCTTGGAGAATGCGCTGAGTAAGTACGAAAATGCTCCTGAGCTGAAGGTAGTTAGTGTAAATCTATCTCCGGCGAGTGCAAAGGGTGATCACTATGCAAGCGTTATGTTTCGGGGTAATGTGGCGTATACCACACAAAGCGGAAACCATTCCAAGTCCCTGATCATTAAGACAATGCCGGAGGCTGAGGGACACAAGAAGGAAATGCTTAAGGACTCCCATCTCTTTAAGACCGAGATTGGCATGTATACCAAGGTACTGCCCAGATTCGAGCAGATTCTGAAGGCGTCTGGGGATGAGAGTCGACTTGGTGCGATCTGTATCTATCACAGCATAGAGCCACGTGAAGTGATTATTTTTGAGGATTTGGTGCCGCAGGGCTATGCTGTTATACGAGATCGGGAAACAACGGTCGAGGAGATAAAGGTCGCACTTACGAAGCTCGCTAAATTGCATGCAGTTAGCTTTAAGACTCTAAGGGAGGTGAGTCAGCCAGGACTGATGAAAAGCAAATGATAATCATCTATTTTATCCCAGACTCCTGATTTTCTGAATGAGTTCCAATATGGCATTTGCGAAATACCAAACATATTGAATGATCCGTTTATCACATCGGGTCTGACCAATTTCTTGGAATTGCTCGATTCGAGGCCAGAGTTTGCTAAGTACAGGTCGTATTTTAGGAATATAGCGAACACCTATCTGGATCTTTTCGTTGATATTGTGGAGGAGTATCGCAAAAATAAACAACCCAATGGATACTATGTACTATGCCACGGCGATTTTCATCTGCGTAACATGATGTTTAAACACAATACATCGGATCAAAGCATTGAGGACTGCATGTTGATTGATTACCAAATATGCAACATCTGTCCCATAACCATCGACTTGATCTATGCTACCTACATGCTGTTGTCGCCAGAGAATCGTCAGCACAACTTAGAGGAGTTGATCGAGTTTTATTTCTCAACTTTTGTTCAAACACTGAAACAAATTGGATACAAAGGAGAACTACCGAATTTCGCGGAGTTTCAGAGGCAAATGACGCGCCACAATTTCTACGGTATGTTTTGGCCGCAAAGTAAAAATTAAAATAGTATCAATATATAATTAAATTGTTTTTATCATAACAGATTTGTTTCTCATATTCGCATTTTTACCCATGTTGCATGGTATTAGAGCAAACGTGGATATTACTGAGGTCCTGCAACAAAGTGATGTCCGCAAAAAGCTATTTTTTCAGGATAACTATGTTGAAGATGTCAAGTTTTTACTGGCCAAATTTGAAAAATTTGGCTATTTTGACTGATTTCTATGACATGTATAAATATCATATCATCCAGCCTAATGTGTAAATGTCATAAATAATGATTATAAAATAATTTCCTGTTCCTTTCATTTTAAACTTATTTCAGTAAAAACCAGGAAGTAGTACTATGGTAGATCCGTCTACTAATTCTATTGATAGCCAACTAAAGATGAATACTTATCTTCCAAGCAAAAAGTTTTATAAAAAAAATTTAATAAGTTAAATTTATTTGCAAATAAAATAAATCTGAAATGTCAAGGTGTTCTACGTTTGCTATTTGGTTATAGCTTAGACTTAGCTTCTTATCATATCTTTATATGCGAAAGACTTATCTAGAATATCAAGATTAAATACGTTTGTAGCAAACAGAGACTATTAGTTAACGAACTGATCTTGCTTCTTACGTAAATCGTTTTAATGAATGGAATAATCTATGACTAAATTAAATTGAACTCACTTGCCAGCCAGCCACATATATATTTACAGATAAGAAGGTAACACAATTAAAAGATAATTTTCAAACTACGTTTGCAATATGAAAGTTAGTTAACAGTGGATTGATTGCTGTCTATATGCACCCACATGTACTTAAATATGCTTTAGGTCTCTTCAAAGTAGCCTAGGTGCAACATGCGCGGAAGCATCTCTTCCAGATCGTCCAGGTATTCCTTTTGAAAGTAGAGCTGACTTAGCTTCTGCTCATCATCTACTATGTGCTCGGCGCCATTGCGAAAATGTTTAATTAAAGGCAGAAATGCAATAATCAGGAGGAAATCTTGAAAAAGAATTGGTTGTTACTATAAGCTCTATAATAAAGACAGAATTATACTCATTTACTCTTACCATGATCTCTTCTTTCAAACATCTGGCGCCGAAACTCAATCAGGCTGGGCAGCTGGTAGTGGTACCCAATCTGCTTGAGGGTATTCAAAAAGGTTTGAAAATAGTTGTAAATCAATTCATCCGATTTCTCTCTACGTATCTCCGCATTGAACAGCGCGTACATAGCGTATATTATGTCACTGGTCATGGATCCCACGTGGGCCATCTGGAAATCAAGTAGCAAACACTCGACGCCTCTGAACATTATATTACGCAGATGAAAGTCTCCATGGCAGAGCACATAGTAGCCGTTTTCTTGGCGATTGTCGCGGTATTCACGTAGAATATTCACCCAGTTCTGGATTAGGTTTCCCTTCTTGTGGATTGGCTCAAAGTATTTTCGATAGGGTCTCAAGCTCTCTACATTGTCAAGCATATTCAAAAAGTGTCCCAAGGCCTGTGTGATATAGGGTTGCTTCAAAATGTTCGGCAGAGTGCTAATGTCATACTGCAGATGATCGAAAAGCTTGGTTTGTTCCTTAAGCAACTTGAAGCTAACTGCGTGCCACTTGGCCAGCTTTGTTAGAGCTGCTTGTAGCTCCTCTGCATTGGCAAATCTTCGAACGATGGCGTAGCCGAGTGGTAACAGATCCTCAAACACCATAACTTGTTGCGGCTTCAAGCTATGATAGATACAGGAAGCACCAAATGAAGTATTATCTCCCATCTCTCGCAATATTTCCTCGAACTTGGGCAGAACCTTGGTGTACATTTCAATCTCCGTCTTAAAGATGTGCGATTCGTCTAATAGCTCTTTCGCTAGACCTTCCTGTTCGGGCATTGTCTTGATAATCAGGGATATCTTTGAGGCATCATTATTCTTTGATGTTTCATATTCAACGACGGCTCGAAACATCACACTCATACAATGATCTCCCTTGGCACTGGCTGGAAAGAACTTTACATCGACGAGTCTCAGTTCAGGTATCTTGAAATACTGAGCCAAGATCTTTCCGAAGAAATGGCTGTTCAGCCATTGGGGCACATCCACCTCATCTGAGTCGTAGCTCTCACACTCGTTCGGCATTGAATTTATCTTCTAATAGCGCTTTTGGGTGCGAAGTAAAACTGCAGCTAAATATTTCTACTACGAAACCTTTTCAGGGCATTTAAATTAAATAGACAATGCCAATGCAGCGTTGCAAATCTACAAACTGTACCCTTTTCAGTCATTTAATTAATAAATGTTTATCATGCTGTAAACCCAAATTATATAAATATCTTTTAAAATTACATCGTTAAAGTAATAATATAATGAAACTGATAATAGTCGAATATGTACCTACAGATAACTGGTATCACAAATATATAGCTAAGATCAAATTGCTAAACCGAAGTTATTCCACATTTCTAACAACGTTTATTTATAAAAAAGCTTAACATAGTTTTGCTTTATATGTGTATATTATAATGCTCAACACGTTTAAATATGCATAGCTCAGATAAAAAAAAAAAAAATAAATAAATAAACAATAGAAAAACAACAAATAATAACAATTCTAATCATGTACATATATGCATATGTATATAAAATGATGAGGCTCTCTGGGAGCAAAAACACAATTTGATTTGTCTAAAACAAAAGATTTTTATTCCAATGAGAAAATAATTATATGGGTTTAAAAACCAACAATAACAGAATTAAGAATTAAATGTTCACGCTTCTATTCTTTACACAGTTAAATTACTTTAATTTAAATGCAATTTAACTTAACACTAATTTACAATACTTAATTTCAAATTTTGCTTTTTATGTATTTCTTTTGTTTAACTTTCTCTCTTCACAATGCTCTTAGTCGACAGCCGATCTCATTCGATAGTTAATTAATTGTTTCACTTTATCGATATGCGGTTCAATTCATCAAACATCTGATCAGTGAGTGGAGTTAGTTATGCAGGTGTGCAAAACGCACACATACATATGATCAGTGGACTGAGATATGCATGTACGCAAAGCTTACATATGTATGTGTATTCATGTCATGCATTCACATGTCAAGAGACTCAAAGTAGCCCAAATGCAGCATACGAGGGAGTAGAATCTTCAGATTATCTATGTATTCCTTTTGGTGGTATATCTGAATAGTCGATTGTTCGTCCTCTACAATTTCTCCTGCATCTCCACCTTGGCGCATATGCATAATTATAGGTTGAAAGGCAGTCAGCATGAGAAAGTCTAGGAAATTATATATAAATATAATAATATACTACATTATAACGGATTTTTACAGATTTCTGCAGAGCTTACCCAAAGAACGGTTCTTAAACATTTGCCGACGGAATTCTATTAAATTGGGCAACTTATCCCTATAACCAATTTTTTGTAAGGTTTTCAAAAAGGTTTGGAAGTAGTAGTAGATAAGCTCGTCCTTTTTATTTCGTTGTACCTCGCCGTCAAAAAGCATGTAAATGGCGTACGTTATATCATATATCATAGATCCCACATGGGACATCTGGAAATCCAATAGCATACAATCGAGTCCCTTGAACATCAAGTTACGAAGGTGGAAGTCTCCATGGCAAACAACATAGTACGTATCAGCTTGGCGATTTTCACGATATTCTCTCACCGCATCTACATAACGTTGGTTTAGCTTCCCGCGCATCGGCTCGAAGTATTTTTGAAAGGGTTTCAAACTCTCTTCAACGCCCAGCATGTTTATAAAGTTATCCAGGGATTTGGTCATGAATTCCTGTTCCATCATGTTTGGTATTGTAGTCAAGTCATATTTCAAATGATCAAATTGTTCTGGGTTCTCCTTGAGCAGTTTGAAGCTGACGGCGTGCCACTTGGCCAGCTTTGACAGTGCTACCTGCAGTTCCTCAACGTTGGCATCTCTTCGTAACACAGAGTATCCCTTAGGCAACAGATCTTCAAAAACCATAATTTGACGGGGCTTTAATCTATGGTAGATGCAAGGTGTACAAAATGTGATCTCATCTCCAGCCTCGCGCAAAATCTTCTCAAACTTAGGTAGAATCTCAGTGTACATTGCGATCTCCGTCTTAAAAACATGCGATTCGCTTAGCATATCTTTCTTTAAACCATCTGCTTCGGGCATTGTCTTGATGATAAAAGAAATTGTGGAAGAGCCTGAACTCCCCGTCGTTTCATATTCAACAACAGCTCGGAACATCACACTGGCATAATGATCTCCCTTCGCACTGGCCGGCGTGAACTTGGCATCAATTACTTTGAGATCCGGGAGTTTGAGATGTTCATCCAGGACTTCTTTCATGAACTGAGGACCTAGCCATTCGGGAGCATCCAACTCATCCGAATTGTAGGACCCATTGTTAGCCGCCATCTCAGATGCTTTTCTGAAATCTAACTACTAACGAGTTGATTGCATTATCATTTTTATACAACTTGACTTGAAAGCTTTGCGAGCTTTCCCACTGACTTGGTTCTTTAATAATCGCTGCGTAGGCATGATACAGTACTTTTTAGTCTATACCCTGAACTTCTTCAAAATGGGATAGGGTATTACGGTTTTATGAAGATGTACGTAACGATTTATAATATATATTCCTGATTACGCTGATGTTATTATCCTCCATCTGTCCGTCCGTCTTAAAATAATTTTAGAGTGTACCTGTTTTGCCTAATCTAAGATTAATTTATGTAATTAAATGACAGCTTGAAACTAGTTGGAGAGTACTACGTTGGGATGATTACGTTATCTTCATTCGAGATTGTACATTGTACATTGTAATTTTAGCAAATATATTAGCAGTACCATAGATAATTTTGATACCCATAAAAAAACTATCAAATGGTTAAGTCTATCTGAAGAGCCATTGTGCAAATTTTGTTTTTTATTCTTATTTCACAATAAACATAAATTTGCCTTCAGGTGCTTTTGGGCAGTTTGAAAAGCTTTCGACAGCACGAGACTTATGTAGCTGAGCGAACAGTATTCAGTTTAGTCTTAAACAACGTTTCATCAGTAAATGTTGATAGCAAAACTATGGAAAGCGTAAATGCTGACGAGTTGGTGGCACCCGCCTGGCTCAATGCGCAGTTTTTTTAGGAAGTACTTAAAAAACATGAATGCATACCAGAACTAAAAGTCTTGGATGTTCAAATCTCGCCAGCCAGTGCTAAGGGCGATCACTATGCGAGCATTATGTTTCGGGGAAATGTCTCGTATACCAACACAGGTGGAAAGCAATCAAAGTCGCTGATCATCAAGACGATGCCCGATCAGGAGGGACATAAAAAGGAAATACTGAGTGGTTCTCATCTCTTTGAAACAGAGATTGGCATGTACACAAAAGTCTTGCCCAGATTCGAGCAGATTCTACGGGAGGCGGGTGATAATACTAGACTATGTGCGCCCTGTCTGTATTGCTCGTTGGAGCCGCGTCAAGTCATGATCTTTGAAGATCTAGTGCCGCTGGGTTATACGGTCATCAGAAAACGTGATGCAACCACTGAGGAGTTGAAGTTTGCTTTTACGAAGCTGGCCAAGCTGCATGCAGTTAGCTTCCATGTTCTGCAGGAGGTAAGTACTGGATGGAAATAACTAACATACGTACATACATATATTTAATGTCAATTTTAATTTCATTTTCATACTTAAGCAACCCGATTACCTGCAAGAATTCAAAAACGGCTTCTTCGAAATACCAAATATACGACAAGACCCCTTTTGCACTACAGGCCTGAAAAAGTTCCTTGATTTCCTGGAAGAATTCCCAGAGTTGAGAAAGTATAAGCCGTACTTCGAAAAGATGGAAAATGATTACATTGATCGAGTGGAAATTGTAATGCAGGAGTATCGCAGGAATCGCAAGCCAAATGGATATTATGTTCTATGTCATGGCGATTTTCATTTGAAGAACATGATGTTCAAGCAGGGAGAAGATGGATCTTTGGAAGATGTTATGTTGTTGGACTACCAAGTAAGCAACATTTGCCCCATAGCCATGGACCTGATATACGCCGTATATATGCTGATGGGCATTGAAGATCGCCACAATAACTATAAAGAACTTATAAACTATTATTTTGCCGAGTTTCTCGCAACATTGCAAAATATTGGATATAAAGGCGAATTGCCCAATTCGGTGGAGTTCTGGCAGCTAATCTCCCAACACAATTGCTATGGTAAGTCCCGAATAGAAGATGCCTATTTAGATATATTATTTACCTTGGAAAATTTCAGATATATATTTGATAACTACATTTTTGCCAATGATGAATGCCTTTAAGCTCTATGACTTTGATCCCGCAGACGTCTTTCAAAAGGAAGACGTACAAAAAGGAATGTACCGCTTAGATTCGTACGTTCAGGATGTTAAGTATTTGTTGGCCAGATTTGAGGCAGAAGGTTTCTTCGAAAACCAGCGTATTTAAGATTGTATTGATTGTCCAATTGTATTCAAAATTATATGATATTAAATATTGTGAGTAAATAGAAAAGTGCAAGTTGTTTGATTATATTCAAATCTATATTGATATCATTATTAGTATTGGTATTGGTATTAAGATTAGAGTCTGAACGAGTGTCGTCAACGGTATCATTATCACACTTGGTATTGGTATCAGTATCAGTATGAGTATTGCTATCTGAATGACTCATAGTATCAGTATTTCAATCAGTATGAATAATAGTAAAAGTATCAGTATGAGTATTAGTAGTATTAGTATAAGCATTTCGTATCAATAATACTATCAATAGCGGTAATAGTAGCAGCGTCATTATCATTATAGCATTATCGTAATGATCATTGCCAATGTCCGTAACATTAACAGTACCATTAAATGAGCATTAACATCATCATAATAATTATTATAGCTTGATAATTGTTCTAAAAAGTAAATATGTACTATAATTAAATATTAAAAAATCAGAATATTTCAATTGAATTTGATTAACGTTTTTACCAAACACACAACAGGAGCACTTCACTGCACTACGACTGACCTGCATCAGGCCAGGCACGCGACTGATCGACTCTGATGCAGGCTCGGCTTTTCATGGACGAGAGAATTGCACTCAACGTAGACCCGACTTGGCTCTCATGACTTATTTTTCACATTAGCGATGTAAAAAAGTTTTTTTTTATGCACTAAGGCGACGATCTTAAGATAATATTATCAAAGGTCTTTTGGTATTTATAATTATATATGGAATACAGACTTTTATAAAATGTTTTTGTTTGGACTCATTCATATGTTACTCTTTGAGAGGAAGAGAATAAATCGGGGAAAGATGAATAGAGATTAGTGAAAGGAGAGGCACGAACAGCTAGATATTGATAGACTGAAATCAATTTGTATTTAAAATATTTTTTATATTTTCTCTCCGCAAAAGGCATTTAAATATTACCTAAATAAATGTTCAATTTGTTGTTATGCGAGATCTGATAATATTATTTACATCGCCAAAGCTTTTGAAAGCTTTCCTATGAAAATTCACTTATATAGTTAAATTTTATGTGGAAGCGCTTTAGTATTTATTGTTCAATTGGATTGCCAGCACAGCCAAACTAAAATAGAAATATTATTAGCGCCTGGAATAATGACATCAAAAACTAAAGAGAACTTTAATGCCGATGAATTGGTGGCACCTTTGTGGTTGAACACCCAATTTCTCGAGCAAGTGTTGATTGAGCATGGAAAGACTCCAGACCTCAGAGTTGTCGATGTTAAGATATCCCCGGCAAGTGCCAAGGGCGATCACTATGCGAGCATTATGTTTCGGGCAAATGTCTCGTATACCACAAAGGCGGGAGATCACTCCAAGTCGCTTATCATCAAGACAATGCCCGACCACGAGGGGCACAAGAAAGATATGGTCGGTAGCTCGAACATCTTTGTCACCGAGATCGGCATGTATACCAAGGCATTGCCCAAGTTCGAGGAAATGCTTCGGGAAGTCGGCGATAATACAAAGCTGTTTGTTCCCTGCATCTATCACAGCTTGGAGCCGCGCCAGGTTATGATCTTTGAAGATTTGGTGCCGCAGGGCTATACGGTCGTTCGAAGTCGTGATCCAACCGTCCCTGAGCTGAGGATCGCATTTCAGAAGCTAGCCAAATGGCACGCATGCAGCTTCAAAGTGCTGAACGAGGTAAATGATTTAGGTAATTATTTACTGCATAATATATGTGTTTGACTCAAACACTTTCAGCAACCGGATTTTCTGCAAGAATTCAAGTACGGTCTGTTTAGCATGCATTCCGTTTTGAAAGATGCTTATTTTAACTCTGGCATGGGCACATTCATTGGATTGCTTGAGGAAGTTCCCGAACTCAGAAAGTATGTTCCCTATTTCAGTAAGATAAAAGCTGATTATGTGCAGCAAATGCGAGCGATAATGCAGGAGTATTACGAAAGCCGGAAGCCCAATGGGTTCTACGTGCTCGGCCATTGCGACTTTCATGCTCGCAATATGATGTTCAAGCACAACAAAGATGGCGGCGTGGAGGATGTTATGCTACTGGACTTCCAAATTAGTAACATCTGCCCCGTAACCACTGACATTATATATTCTGTCTATATGCTGATGGGCCCCGAAGAGCGACACAATAACTACAAAGAACTGCTCGACTATTATTTCTCCGAGTTTCTCGTAACACTGCAGAAAATTGGCTATAAAGGCGAATTTCCCAGTTTGATGGAGTTTTGGAAACTAATCTCCCAGCACAAGATCTATGGTAAGTATTTATTGCAAATATTATATATTTAAGAGCTTTAAACAGCTTTCAGTGTAAAACTTCTTTTTTTTTAGATTTCTTTCTGATATCAACTTTCTTGCCTATGATGGGTTGTCTTCAGCTAAAGGACTTCGATCCCGCTGAACTGATGCAAAGCGAAGACGCCCGCAAGCCCTTGTACCGCTTAGAAAGCTACATCAAAGATATTGAGTTTCTATTGGCCAGATATGAGGAGCAGGGTTACTTTGAGTAAAGGCTATGATATCAGATTATCAATAAAGCGTGAATTATGCATTTAAAATTATAGAGGACTTAATAAAGCAATGAAATTATTTTCTTTTCAAATGTTAATTTTGTGATTTATATATAACACTATTGGAAATATGTTTATATATAATATATATATTATTTAGTTTTCAGGTAGTTTTGATATTACATACTGTGTGTGTGATCTGTAAATACATCTTGATGTTATTAAATACTATTTTGTACACAATGTAGACTACTGGAAGCTCTGTTCACAATTGTTCATGTATTGAAGGGAGTTAAGTATCCAAAAAGCCGTTTAACTCAAACTCCTTGACTGTGCGTTGTAAAAATGCGCGATACTTGGGATTCTCAACGTTCTCTCGTCGGAAATTATCTCCGATCTCGGTGCGTGAATTCAAATCCTCCAGATTTTCAAATCCACCATCTTCCCTGAATATCAGAGGTGTAAGACAAGTGGCAGCAATGACACCTATAGATAGATAAAGTACACATATACCTCTTGCTTCTTCGTAAATATTAATTTGAAACTCACCGATCAGGCTATTATTGATTAGCTCAATATGTATCTCTTTAAGTGTTGGAATGTGTCCGTCGTACTTGAGTTTCTCCAGTGTTTCCCGTAGTACGCGTTGATATTCGTGTATTATATACTTGAAGTGCACCTTACGCACATTCTCGTTGAGAGAACCATAGAGAAAATAGTTCAGATCGACAGCTGGTGAGCCCACATAGGCCAGTTGGAAATCGACCTGCAAGAGAATTCATACATCAAAAGAATGATTAAGCGAAACTGGTAGGCCATGAGCGACTAGGAAACACTCTAAGCACATACAAGTTCAAATATATTTTAATAAGAAAAAGAAGCCTAGCTAGAAAATATGAAATATAGAAAAACCAATTTTAATGAGAATCTAAAATTTTTTAAATAAATACGAAATTGTTATCACAGATAAATGGGATATAGGTAACCGAAATCAGCTAATACGTTTCCCAAGTCAATGACGCGTATGTACTCTACTTTAGACACTTTGAATACGCAGAGGGAATGATAATAATTCAACGAACTTACAGCAACAACATTATCGGGCTCCTTGGTTTCATTGTTGATATGAAACATAAGATTGTTGATCCATATATCCGCCATGTTGAACACTTTGAACCCCTTGTCTTGCTCATCGTACATGCGGACGGCGCTCTGGAGCACATTTTCGGCCAGCTTAAACATCTTCTCGGTGATCTCTTCATAGCCCTTCCAGTGGGCGACTTCCTCAGCCACGCAGCGTATGTTCACCGGAAAGAAGCTAAGGAAATCGCGACGATCCGGATTACGGGAAATGGGCGCCTCGTCGAAGAACTGCAATACCTCGGGATTCTGCTTGGCTATGACAGCGCTGCAGGCGTGCAACTTGGCCAGTTTCTCCACGCTGGGCAGGACGTAGTCCAGGTTGAGCAGTCGCCCCCGTTCGAAGTTCTCAAATCCACTCAGCTGCATATCCTCCAAGATGAGGAAGGGCTCCGGAGTCTCGGTCGTGTAGTAGCAGGCGGGTGCTATTTGCGTCTTGTCACCAATCGATTCGAGCAGCGCTTGGACGCGGGGCAGCACTTCCTTATAGGTTAGTATTTCGCGCTTGAAGAGCTTGCTGCGCAGTGCAATAGCTCCCGTCTGGCCCTTCGGGTGGTCCTTGACGAAGACGGAGAATTTGCTCTTCACATTGCCACGCTGCAGATTGAAGCAGGCGCGATGCATTTCGCTGGCAAATCCCGCCACCACATCGCCCACCTGGGCGCTCTTCACCAGCAAATCGGTGATGGTGAGCGATTCCTCTTTAAAGTGCTCCTTCAGCACATCTTGCAGAAACTCCGCGGTGAGCCACTCCGGTGCCTGGTAGTTCTTCTTGCCGGTTCCCATTTTATTTCAATGTAAGTTTGCTTACTTTTTCAAGTCACCTGACTGTTGTGGTCACAAAAAATAAAATACTTAATAAGCACCGAGCAGCTGAGCGCTAGCGGCTGTTGCGTTAAGCTGACAAGTGCGGAGTGGGCGCGAGAGCGAGAGCAAGCGTAAAGCTCCTCCGTTGGCGACAGCTCACGTGCCCGCGACGCTAGTCGAAAAGCTCTCTCTGTTGTTAGCTTTCGTTGGCATGGGTCTGGCTTATCAGCTGACGGACAGTTGTAGGCGAATGAGAGCGTGGCGCATGTTGTGATAATGTGAGTGAGAGAACATCAGTGATAGCTCACTTAAAAATACCCTAACCCATTCATGCCTTACTGAAATCTTTCAGGGCTGCTCTGCAAACAGCAAATAAAGATTATTGGCATTAAATAGGCATACCTAACATACATACGTGACAATATAATATAGTATAAATGACCATTTATGGTTGCAGAGCTCTTTAAGGGGTAAGTTCTGCTTGACTGTAGGCAGGTCATGTATCGCTTGCAGATAGTAATAATCACTATGTAAAATATATGGCGAGCTATCAGACTACCGCCAACAGAAAGTAGATAACAAGCATTATTTATAGCTTTATCAGCTAGCGAATGTTTTTATATAACAAATTATATAAAAAATGTTAAATCTTGATAAATAAAATCTATCGTTCATGGGTAAAGCCCTTTAAGAATTTGTTTGCGAGTGGTCGAAGCCAGTTGCTTTTAAACTAAATAATTAAAAAGCTGAAATCATGATAAAGAAATAAGAAAAGCATCCGAGACCTGCAAGTCGACGATCAAATACTCTGCAAATTATTAGTGAATATTTAATGGAATTATTTATGAAATTTACAAAAATATATATAAATATATTTTTTATTAATGTATAATATTATTAACTGCAGAGAATTCGGTGGTCGATTATTTCTTACTGGCATATTTCCTTGTTGTTTTCTCTTTCTGCTCTGTATTGTGCGAGATAAAATCTTCAGCAGACTTTGCCGCAGCTAAACAAGAGATAAATCCCGCAAGATAGTCAAAAAGTGACTTCTCTATACATATATATACATATATATACATTTATTTACAGATAGTAGAAATTCGTCAAGACGTGGGTAAGCAAATAGAAATTGGAATAGATTAAAACTCTAATAGGCCACGCCTTTGCAGAAACGGAAATATGCTTAAGGCGGCTCGCACATACAAGGGATTTGTGTAGACCTTGGTACGACAGCGATCGCCTTCCTCGCCCGGCAGCATTAGCTTGGGCAGACTTGCATCCTTGTCCACGGGCAGCAGAATGAGTGCCAGATGCATAAACGTGGTGAAGTAGCCTAGGAAGAAGATCAGTGCTCTAATTACTTCCGATCGGAACTGCATATTGTTGCTCGCAAGTAAACTCACCCCAGAAGCCATGCCGAAGCATGCTCATGTGCAGTTCCCTGAGGAGGGGAAGGGGCTTGTCATAGTTGAGTAGCTTGAGGCATTGGACCAGATGTGTGTGGTATATGCGAACGAAGCAGTCGAATTGCTTGATCCGCAGACTGTGATGCGCCGAGCAGATGATCAGCTCCCACAGATCTTGGGCGGGGCTGCCCCACTTGCAGCGCTGAAAGTCCACGAATCGTATCTCGTTGATGTCACCCGCCACTGTGGTGTTCAGCAATATATTGCCGGACCAGAAGTCACCATGATTAAGCACTTGAAATTCTTGTGGATCGTTGTTTAAGCAATGCGCAGCCGATTGCACAAATTGATCCGCTGTGGGCTACACACAAATGCCGGGTATAAATGGAGCTCAGTGCGATTGCAAATTTACTCACCAGGCGGCTCGTGTAGAGCTCGGCATTGGCGAAGCCCCAGCTGGCCATGGCCGTCTTATAGCTCTGTATGCGTGCCTGATACGACTTGGATCTGTGATAGTTGGCTGGCAGATAGATTCGCTGGAAATCCTCCGGATATGGACCGTTGCGCTGATGCCAGACCGCGCTGGCCGCATGGAACTCGGCCAGTTTCTCCAGCACGCGCTGCATCTGCTTCATATTGAAGCCCTTGAGTCGATTGATATTGCTGAACTTCTTCGTCTTCAGGTCCTCCAGTATCAGCGAGATGCGACCATTCACATTCTCCATCCAGTGACATTTGGGTGCGAATTTCACCGTGCGACCTTGTTCCTGGTAGAGCTGCTCCAGTTGTGGCAGGATGAGCTCATACGTCTGCTTCTCCTTGGGAAAGATGTTCAGAGTATTGACAAATCCGATGCCTTCTGCATCCGACAGCATGGTCTTCATAATATACGATTTCTGCTGGGTGAAGCCATCTATAAATGTATAACAGATAAGTATCTATATGTATACTTATATCGGATGCATAACGCAGTTATTAGGTCAGCGGCACTGTCTGTCTACCGTATTTACCTTAGGCTCACCTTTCATTTCAATGTCGATGATAATGCGCATTAGCAGCGAGGTGTAGCTCTCGCATTCGCCAGGCGGCGAGGCCGGTATTATCGAGAGATTCAATATTTTGCGAAAATCGCTTAGCTCACGTTTTAGCAACTTCTTAAAGTATGACCCATTGATCCAGCTGGGTATTTGAATGCATGTATGATTTGACTCGCAGAACTTGTTGCTGTTATCGGGCATTCTGACTGAGCAACTGAGAACAGATCCAATAACTCGCCTCGCCTTGCCTTCTATTATATTGTTGTGTTCGCGCCGAACAGCGAGTTGCAACTGTTTGTGTTCTTATCAAGCATGATTTTCAGGCCCCTGTTTCGGGTTCTTTAGCAGGTCTACGTAGTACGCATGTTATGTTAGACTATCTGGTGTAGGTGTTCCAGTCCGATCCAAGGCAGGTGAGATTGCACTCTCTGGAAATCTTATCAGGCATTGCTCACCGAACGGGTTCTCCTTGCTCACTTCGACCGGTTCGTCAAGTGTCACAATAAAAACTCAACTAGAGAACGCAAGAGAGTCAACAAGAGAGACACCTTCTCACATGTATTATATTGTCAAACGAAGTATTTGTTTACTCGCCAATTCATCACTTATTGATGATCACATTATTATGTATATATATATATGTAGATTTCGCACCCATTCATTAACTTATCGCTCAACAGCACCGCTGTCTGCTAGACTGCACTTAACTAAATAGTTTTCTAGTATTACTAGGGTTTTGACTGTTGCCATAAGCGCTTTACTATATATCAATTATAGTTTTCATTGCACACATGCATTGCGTAACTAGTTCATACTGCATTCAATTAACTCGCATTTTTCATTCGATCAATTATAGGCGAGGGCGGTTTCTAAAGTTTTTTAGGTATGCTCAAGGTATATTTTCCGTCTTCGGTGTCGGACATTAAGAGGTGCAGATTGCTATTTTTTTGCTAGGAAACATAATCGCATTTAAGTGATTGAAGACAGCTATTATGGCTGAATATATGTAGATCCCCTGACTTGATCAATGGCTTTTGGTACTTAAGTAGCTTTAGAAACTTTATCAATCGTTCGCAGTAAATGTAGATAAATTGATCGAATCTCTTGAGTCGTATGCCACTCACCGCAAGTGACGATGTGCTGAATAATAAGATTTTTCTCTATTCATTAACTTTCATTTCTAGATCAATGTATATAAGGAGTATTAATGGATGTGAAGCTCTCGCCGGGCGGTGTAGTTGTAATCAAGAAGTCCTTTAAACTAATGATCGGTGATCCCTTCTGTAATTATCAAATCTTCATTCAATTTACTTTTTCGTTGGTAAGCGGCATTCCGACAAAAGTTCAGCGCAGCTAAATCGCAGTGAGCTTGGTTAGCTACTGGGGCAGCAGTTATACACGCAAAAGTTGTTTAGTAGCTCGTTCACTTTGATTTGAAAAGCTCGCAACTCAGAAGCTTCGCACTTTGTAAAGAGAAAATTACCTATTACCATAGTTCTCCGATATTTACTCTCGATTTTATTGACATTGACTTTCATCTAGCCTCGTTTTTAGATCTAATTAATTTTGCATTTCTGAGCGTAAGTATACTAGGTAATCATAGGTAAGACATCATACTTAGTTCGAATATCATATCTACTCATTTCCTGCATGCGATCTTTTAACTGAAGATTGTGATTAGACAACAAGTACTCAAAGATAAGCGGAATTATTGTCTAAAATATGTATTTTTTATTGGACGTTATTCCGTTTTGTAATCGTCAAAATTGAACAATCCGCGATGGTAGAAAAATGGATACAAGTCCTTCATGACTTCACCATAAGTAGGATTGGAGGTAAGACGTAGTCGTAATTTTTCGCCCTCTTCGGTTTCGCCCATCACGTTATGTAGATTGGAGTCCTTATCACTGGGAAACATAATAATAGGTAGATGACTGAAGACAGCAAAGAAGGCTAGGAGAAAGAAGAAAACTATTTTATCGGGACCGCCTCAGGAAATCTCATTTAAACTTTACCATAGAACGAGTTCTGCTTCTTATAGAGGGATGTATGCAGTTCNACTCAGCTCGTCGCCCTGATCAAGAATATATATACTTTGTGGGGTCTGCCACGCCTCCTTCTGCCTGTTACATACATTTCAACAAAACCATTATACCCTGATTTCCCATTTTCAATTGGTTCAGGGTATAAAAATTGAAAATGACGAACCGCATTCTATAGGGTATGGATGCTGCAATATGTTGATGAAAATACGAAAGTGTGTAAAAGAAGAAAGTTTATAACAATGATCTATTGCAATAATAATTAGAGATTTATTACACTTTTATTCAATTTTGAGCTTACAAGTTTAATTAATTCAATATCTACTGTATCGAATCTTTACTGTACATGACATCAAATATATGTATACATTAATGTCTTACACAGAACTAAAACAAAAGGAATACAATGAAACAAATTTAAGTATCAAAATGAATTTGTAAAAGTAAAAACCATATTTATAAAATATATACTAGGTTCAATTCGCAGTTTCACATGCATCAACCCAATCATTATATACGTCGATGGGTTCTGACAAAAAGTTAATTCCAGTTTGAAAGTCCTCTAGACAAACGCGACATGTTATTTTAGCGGTATTCCGGCCCTTGTCCCTGTAAAGGTGCATTAATACAAAGAACAAATTTCAAAATATACGTACAAATTACATTTTTACTTCGCATGACTTTTCGTGATTACAAAATGGACAATTAAACTGCTGATCCAGTGGTTCGATGTTCTTGCGTTTAGGTGGAGGTTTTCTCTTAGATTTTCTTCGTCCCATATTTAATTAGGGTACTCTATTTTAATTAAATTGATAGCACTACAATTAATTTATCGTGTATTAAGAAAAAATTAATGAAAAACCTGCATTGTTGCCAGCGAAATAGAGATGTGAGATACATCAAAACAACCGGCAATCATTGCAAAATTAATATATCGATAGATACTTATCGATATTTGACTAAATTAACCCTTATGTATCGCCACTGACCAAACAACACAGATGTTGCGGCGTGGAAAAACGTTGCTCTACATGTCTAGTCTATGTGTTGTTTGGTCAGTGGTATCGCTTGAATTATTTGAATGCAGTTATTATTAAGCAGTCCTAAGACTGCTGACACTGACCAGAGAACACATAGACATGTAGTGTGTTCTCTGGCCAGTGCTGCTGAATATGATCACTTTGGTCAGTGATAACTCTTCGGCTGGTATACAAATATAGCGCTTTACATCTCAGAGCACGTTTTGGGGGAAACCTTTTTTATATATTACAATAAATTAAATCGTAATCAGCTCAACAAAGTCCTACAAACCCTTTGTTAATATTGAATTATTTAACATGAATGTAATCTTAAAAACATTGGAGATCGCAATAATCATTATCTTATTAAATGAAGAATATCATTTAACGGAAAGAACTTGCGATTTTATACATATGTATGTATTTTACAAATAAAATGTATACAAAATTTGCTTAGAATATTTTGCATGCTTTATAAAATATATATATTTGCTTGCGTATCGCAATCGCAGTTTATATAACTCTACATCTCGAATATAAACGAATAAAGTATTTTCTGCTAATATTACGAAAGTAATGAGATCAACATCACTCAATATTTCATAGAGCTCTTTGCTGTAATAAAATGCGCCCGTTGGAAAAATGATACAATAATTAATGTATACACAATTTTTAATATGTATTTCAATTTGGGCTGGAACATAAGTGTATTTAACGCTTCCTATGCATATGCTCGCGATTCTTGCGCTTCCAGGCAGCACGACGTGATCCGCCAATGGTTTGCGAGTATCTGTAGCCCTTGCCGATGCCGCGAGAGCTCTTGCCAGCTGAAGTCAGACCACGGAGCTCACGGTGCTTGTGCACGTGCTTGCAGATCCAGTTGACCTTGGGGTCACGGCAAATGGCGTTGTGATGGATGTCCACCAAAATGACCTCGAAGTATTTGTATGATGCGTCCTGGGCCACCCAGTAAGAATTCAAAACGCGCAGACCACCAAGTCTCCTACCAACACGTTCCTAGAAAACAAATAAATGCAAGTTTGTTAACATACTGTTCCAAATTATAGACTTTTTCAATTGAGTAATAAAGTCAGACATCTAAGGAAGTTCGAAAATCATTATTTATCACGAAGCAAGTGATTATCATCATGAAAAATCCATTTCTCCATAATATGCGAATGTATACTTACTTCAGCAATAGACTGGAGTCCACGGTAAGGCTTCAGTTGGTTGACACCATGGCTCTTGGGCTTGCCATAGGTGCAGCCCTTGGGCACTGGGCGCTTGCGGCCACCACGGCGCACACGAATTCTATAAATAACAAAACCTTGCTTTGCACGGTATCCCAGACGACGTGCCTTGTCGGGACGGGTTGGTCTCGGCGAGCGGTGCAATTTCGTCAATTGACGATACTGCCACACGCGGATGCGAAGCAGGTAACGCATAACATCACTCTGCTTCTTCCTATACAACTCTTGCATATACCGGTAGGCACCCATGTCCAAAGATTGATAGACCTAGCAACAAATGGAATTTGTTATTAGTATACATAATAACGTGTCACATCATTGGTCTATTAAAATGAATGTTGTTTGGTTGTTCCGTGAACCTTAAACAAACAAAAGACTACTTTAATTAATCGGAATACGTCAAATATTCTCTGATTAGATCTACAGATTTTTCAGCTCTCCATAATCTTCCTTTGCGCAATACGGCATAAAGAGTGGTGCATGGAAATATCATCATATTGAAATCGATCGTAAATCTAGTCTTTAACCAATAGCTGCATTTACCTGTTAAGCAGAAAAATAATAATATTAATAATAAGTCGAATGATGGTTTCAAAAAACCGAGTTTTATTTGGCACATTAGTGATTGACACCCACCTTTAAAGCCGACCAAAATCCAAAAGACGGAAGTCTGACAACTTGACAGTAAGACTCTCTTACAGAGTTGCTTTGAAAATGGGAATCGACATTCACATGCAAAGCATAAAAGCAATGACTGTTATGAAACAGTGAAATCGAACAGCAGTTGACAGAAATATGTGAAACCTTTATATATCAAATCATTCATATGATTTGTGAATTAATAAGTCTTAAATCAATTTTTAATCTAATCAATAATCAATATAATAAATTTAATATAGACAATGTTGGAAAATGTATCGGTATATCCTATTCTTTTTTATGGAATAACAAAACTGAGATTGTCGACTCAACCCAACTCCACCGTTCCGTTCCATATCTAGATTCATTTGAACTAAAAAATGACAATTTGCTGCGATAGGCGCGATATAATCAAATATTAAAAATTTTAATAATATAATGAATGAATCATGAAGAGCGTCAATGCTGACATCTTTAAGTTCAAATAAATAAAAAAAAAACGTAATCGTATTTTGTAAAAGTACAAGCTAATTTCATAAACGTGAGCATTGTTTCAATGCCGTTTCTTCACATTTCTAAAGTTGATTTGCCCTGCTAACTAACTATTATTATGTCGGCTATTAGTCAAAATTATCCATACCTATAAAACCGATTTGTATTTAAGCAGAGTGTCTACCAATATTACTTGACAATATCTAACGAATTGGGGACAAGCACGCTAGCAATGTGTTTAATATTTTTTCTTCATTGGCTCCACTCTTATCATTGCCCAACGTTTGCAATTAGTATTAAGTGGATGGCTCGAAGAGTATTTCAGTTCTTCGGTTTCTTATCAATAATTTGTAAACAACCCCGTTTTTAATGAATTTGATGCATTTGGCTATTTCAAAACCTGAAAAAATAATACACATTTTTTAGATAAAGATAAGAGCGATATTTAAGGTTTTTTTTCCTGACATATTTATTGAAGACTAATATGCAAATCCTTTATTTTAAATTATATTATAAGTCTTGCAAAATTTTAATTCTACATAAATAATAAAAGATGCTTGCAACCACTCGCCAAGCAACTTTAATTCGGACCACGCGCACGCTGATTTTGAGATGTTAATTACAATTCATCATGGCCATTTTCTTCTGAATCGGACTTCGCGTCGGCATTTTCCTCATCATCGTCGTCATCATCCTCATCCTGATTGTCTGCGTTCTTTTTCGACTCCTCTTCATCCTTCTTCCTCTGGACTTCATCCTGCAGTTCCTTCATTTTCTTCTCGCCAGCTTGCGTGTCCTTAACGCCAGCTGCTGTCTTGGCTGCCAGTTCGATGTCATCAGTGATGAGGACATTGTCGAATATCGTGCCTGACTTAACTTGCCACAAATCGAAGCCCAATGTGCAGATCTCATTGCGCAGATAGAGATTATCGTCTGGACTATATTCAGGATTGTCGATTTCTGGATGCTCCCATGCGCCCTTATAGTTGGGATTGTCCAATTGCTTAGGCTGCCATTCGCCCTTGTATTCAGGATTGTCTACCATTGGTGGCTCCCATTCGCCATCCATTTCATCGTCCCAATCCTCAGGCTTGGTGGCATCGGGATCTGGAATGTGCTGTGGCTTGTCCCAATCTTCGGGCTTCTTGTCGTCTGGGTCAGGAATGGTTGCCTGTTGAGCAAATACACATATTGATTTTAATTTTAATGTCAACGAATCTTAAATATCCTATTCATTTGAATATATTCATTTAAATATATCATATAAAAGAACTTTCCGCTAATTACATTTCTACAACTTGATAATAAAACTTTCAACTCATTTTTCAACCCATTTTACGACCAGAACCAATTGAGAAATGTTTTGATTTTGCACTTTGACTATATATAGTACAGATATATATGTATGTATATCTATATGTTCAGTCTATGTTCATGTGGGTCTCTATATATGACACATGGGTCTTGGATACTTAAATGACTCAGAGTTCAGAATTATCTAGTAAACAATTCAATTTTTTAATTACTGATAACACGTCACTTCAAAGAAAAAACAAAAAACGGACAATAATCAATATTAACTAATTTGATAGCATTTGTGGTACTCAAAGAAACTAATAATGATTATGTTTTATCAAATCTTACCCTATCGTCCCAGTTATCTGGTTTGCTTGCGTTGGGATCCTTAATCTTTTTGGGCGCCAAGAAGTCCCAGTCATCTTCAAGGTTTCCAGACTCCACCTTCTCATTGTCGATCAGCACCTCATAGGTGTTGTCGGGCTTAATAATTAGAGTGTAGAAATGGGTATAGACGTCATCCTTGCATCTGATATCCTTGTTGATCAAATGATTTTTGCCCTTATAGCTGAGAATAACATGCACTTTCTTGGTACCGGGCCCACAGATATCGGGTCCGAACATAATCTCGTAGGGCGACTCGCCATGCATATCAGTCTGGTCCAGGGAGCAGTCGAACAGCTTCACATAACCGCCTCCACAATCGATATTCTGCTCATGCTTCACAGAGAACTGAATTACTAATGGTTTATCTTTATTTGAGAAGGCGTCGAACTTTCTGGATAACGCATAGAATCGAGCGTCCTGTGATGTTTGGATGCCTGAAGGAAATGTGAATTGTATTCATTTATTAATTGTTGTTGTTAATATGTTTGCATATATACACACACACACAAATACATAAATACATACATACTCACATACACATGTACTTAAGACATATATGTATGTACATATGTACACATGCATGCATGTATGAAAGTATGTAAGTATAAACCGTTTACTTACCTTTATCTGCTTCAGCATCGTTGAAGAATGAGCCTGCTGAGTGAATAAATTTGCCGAACTCCTTGCCAGGATGTTTACTGTAGACCCATTCGTCTTTCCAATTTTCTGCAGAATATACAGATATAGACCAAACTCACGTTAACCACAATTATTTCATTATACATTATTATACACGTTTACCATTTTCGAATTTTTCCTCGAAAAATACTTCGCAATTTACAAATCCTATTGTAAATAGTGCAACAATTGCCTTAAAGTACATGATGAACGCGTGTTACTTCACCAAACTCCCGAAACAAACTTGTTCTACTGACTGAAGCAATATGTATATTTGCTCACAAACGCCGGCCCGGCTCTGTGGAGCAAATGGAAAACGTATGAGAGAGACAAATACAGTTTATTCATAAAATCGCTGGAACGTTTTTATTGGATACATGTGGACCAATCACATTTCTCTACGTATCAAAAGTGTTGTAAAATAGCTCAAATTTATTCGATAATCAGCCTAATTTATCGACGTAAAATTCATATGCCTAGTATGGTGCTAATTTTTATTTATACATATATGATGAACAGGTAGTGTATTTTTTATGATATTTATATGAAATAGCCATTATAAATGAAAATGTAATTATTAAAAATATCAAAATTTTCATTTTTAGTCTAAGAATATCTAAATACATAAATATGTATCTTCAGTATCCCTTTGTTCTCTTATAAGTGCACCATGTGCCTCATTTAGGGCTGCCCCCTTTAATGGATTTGGCATCGTAAAGAAATATTTTCCTGCATAGTGCATTGATTTAATATAATGGTTAAGTGTCCGGATCGGAATTTGCTCTGCCAGATACTTGGAAATTATAATTATTAAAAGAAATCGATAATATGCAAGTATTTAAGCCAATCAATCACATGCTTTTATTAATAACTGATATATGACCAATCTCATATAGATATTCTGTGAATATATGGCGCATCATAAAAAATGGAAACTGTTTCCCATATTGTCGATATTTTCAATTGATCATCAATTAGTCATTTTTTAAAATCTATAATAAATGGAATGTACAATTCTCTAGCTAGGAAGACTAGGCAGATATTATTTAATAACTGAAATTCGATACCGATAATATAAGCGTTCACCAGATGAGCAGCGAGAGAGTGAGAGAGAGAGAGAGAGAGCAGTGAAAAAAGGGATAAAAAAAATTAAATCAGTTTAATACCTTTTCTATTTTACTATATATCATTTCTTAATCAAATAATCAGTTCGTGATAATGCCATTCACATGTATCTGTTCGCCAAAGCAGTGTTCAGTATATAAGAACGTCTTCGCTAATTTTTACAAATGATCGATCTTTCTCGATATTAAGCAAATGAACTAAGTGATCACAATAGAATTATAACATCGCACTGCGCTTTGGATACAAGAGTGTTCATTTAAAATAGAGATGGGAATAGGGATGAAGAACCGCTTAAGATTGGACTAATGCATTGTGTTGAAAAAATGTAATAATGCCACCTATACATATACCTATACATTTTCTCACGATCAATCGGTGTCCCGGGGTATTATTACAAAATCAGCTAATGGGCCGATCTACTAAATCCCACCTATCGTTCGGTACCGAATTCTTAATCTAGATCATGACCAAATGGAGCCTTTCCAGTTACATATTGGTTATACAGTAGAATCCGGTTATAGCGACACTCAAGGGACCGTCGATTTTACGTCGAGAGTAAAAAAAATATATATATATTTTTTTTTCATTTTTTTTTTACGGTTGCCATGTTTGTAATAACTTTTACTATAAAACAATTTAAATTTTTAATTAAAACAACAATTTTTTATAAACCTCTTTTAATAACATAGTTTAGAAACATTTTTGTGACGTCGGCATTGTACTTTGTCTCTCTCCCTCTCTCTCTATCTTAGCAGCATTTGTGGCGTTGCTACGCAAACAAGCAAGGGTACTGATCTCTGATCAATATATACATTTCTAACAGTCTTTGTATGCTTAAATTTGTTGTCAATATTCCGCGATTTTTTTTATCACGTCGTAATAACCGGTGATTGACTCAAAAATATGAAAAAAATCGTCGGCATAAGCGGAATGTCGTTAAAAGCGGAGACGTACTAAGCGGAGGCTCTTTCACATAAGTTTGTATGGGGACCAACCAAGACATTGAATTTTCGTCGATATAACCGGTTGGACGCTTTAAGCAGAGTCGTTATAACCGGATTCTACTGTATTTGCAATTGAACGTTTCTTTAATGAAAAATTGTTTAAAATACACCAATAATATCGATTTCTTACATCTGAAGTTTCTTTATGTTCTGTCGGAAAGACGGATACACATGCAATAGATTAGGGTTAAATTGACTTTTCTACTACCAAATATATAATTGGGACCAAGTCACAGTATGAAACATGGCTGAAACGTGATAAATATATTTAAAATGTCATGAGTCTGTATATATTTTTTATCGATGTATTGAATTTACAAATATTTTAAATAAACAGATAATGAGTTAGATAATGCCGAATATTTTGCATACCTACAGAAACGCGCAAATTTTTAATTATATAGTTTTATAAACAAGTTTCGACAAACACTTTTGTGTTTCGATGTCAGTAGTAAAGTTGTGTGTGTTCTTCAATACATTGCCGACACATACTTTAAGTGTATTAACCATGTTAAAATATACATTAATATTGAATATAATAGATTTCATTATCATTTTATTTTATACAAATTAACATATCTCAAACATATATCTAATTTGGTTGTTGTGTCAATGAATTACCGCATCGACGACAAATGCATGCAGTGGAAACAGTTCAGATCTCATTTCATTGCCATGTGAGAGACGATTTTTGAAATCGATAACTATACAAAACATTGATATGTGTCTGTAGATAGCTACACATAACTTCTCTTCAAAATTTAAATTTGTTTGGATTTTTCATCAAGATGGCTTCTGCAGGTTTGATTTAAATTTATATTTAATTTATTTGATAATCATTTGATATAATCAATATATTTTAATAAATGTGCGCTAAAACAAAGAACCATATTCAATGGAAATTTCTCCCCTCGTGGCTTCTCGTTTGACACGTAATGTGCACTTCACATGAATGCGTGTATGTTGGTTCCATACATACATATGTACGTACGGTACATATCTACTAGTGCTATTCATCGTAGTTATGTATGTGGAACATATTTACTCGCGTATCTTTATGAAAGAAGAATTATTGTATTAATTTCTCAGAAGTGCAGTGTATATAATATTAAGTTAATGAAAATCTTAAAGAACATATATAATTTATAAATATGTATATTAATTTCTTTATTTTCAGGCAAGAAAGGGAAAAAGAATAAAGGAACTGTTATTTCGTTGCAATCGTTTCTTTCAAATGGTGATGCACCCGTAGGAACAACACAAGTTTCAAAGAAAGTTCGAAATTTAGATGGTGATGAAAGTGATGATGGAAGTCATACGTTACCTTTAGTTTATCAGCTACCAACCGCACCTAGAGCAAATAGAATATTTGATGATGACTCTATCCCCCATAAGCCACCCTTTATAGCTTATATTAATAATTTACCATTTGATGCCAGTGAGGACGACATATACGATTTCTTTGGGAACATTAATCTCGTTTCATTAAGGCTGCCACGAGAAGACGGTGAAACTGGTCGGTCTAGAGGATTTGGCTATGTTGAGTTGGAAAGTAGGGAGGACTTAATAAATGTGCTAAGTTTGCCGGATCCCTCAATCAAAGGTCGCCGCATTCGAATTGAATTGTCTAATGAAAACGATCAACAAAATCGCCAGAAAGGCAATCGTCGCTTTGAAGGATTTGGAAATTCAAGTGAAAATCGCGATTCTGGAAATTGGAGACGGGATAGTCAAAATAATGGAAGCAGCTTTGGGGGTTACTCTGGAAATTACGATCGCAGCTTTAATCGTGATCGGAAACCAATTACAGAAAGAGAAGAAAACAATACTCCTGGTTCATGGCGTACAAACACCCGGCAGCCGTCCACAGATTTTTCGCCTCCGCGAAGGGACCGTGATCAACCATCCGATAAATATCGCCCTAGGAGTGATATCAATGTACGAGAGGATACTGCCAGTTCTGAGGAAAGGCCAAAACTAAATTTAAAACCTCGAACACTACCGATGCCGGAGATAGTAACTAAACCAGATGATGAGGCAGTCAACGAAATTGATACAAAAGTCAATAACAAACCAAGTGGAACACCTTCGGTGAATGTGTTTGGTTCGGCCAAGCCGGTGGATACCGCTACAAGAGAATTGGAAATTGAAGAGCGTTTAGCAGAAGCTCGACGACAAGAGAAGGTGCGCCATGACGAAGAGGCTATCAGTGAAAAGTTGTCGGAAGTCCAACTCGACAAGAATGATAGTGAAAATGCTAATGCTGGAACTATAAGCTGGCGCCGTACCCAGGAAGTTAGTGATGATACCAAAGTTAGTCAAGGTTAGTTGTCAGTAAACAAATCTGTCTGTAAATCCTTGATTATAAATCCTAAATAATCGTTTACTCTTAAGGTGAACGACGACGCGACGATCAAGATTACAACAAATTCAACAAACAGCGGGACCGTAACGATAGGTAAAATATTGTACATTTATAAATTAAGCTTAAAATTACATAATATAAGCAAGTAAGTTTGTTCTACTTTACCCTTTGATAAAGTTAACTAACAGTTACACATATATGTATATACATAAATACAATCGCATTTAATATTGGGTAAACGAGCAAATTCATAATTCTTGTATTCTTACAACTTGTCTTTCTTGTGCAAAACTGATTTTTAAAACTTCGTATAAATGTGCAATTAGGCAGCTATAAATGCTATAATATCTATATACAATACTTTACACAGGTGTGCTCGCTTTTGATCCCGGTTTCTTTGTAATAGATGTGCCCATAATCATTATTCATAGACGAATATTATTTATATTGAATACCACCCCATTCTCTTAGTGGACCTCACCCGTCTAGAGCACTATTGATTTTTTTTGTTCTGTAACCAGTCAAACCTGATAAATTACACAACCTTCACAATCTTCAAATTATTAATATTTATAATAAAAAAAAAGAACATTTGATGATATAATAAATATATTAACTATACATATATACTATAAAGTCCATTAATTTTCCATTATATCGTTAAAATCTATATGTAGACTTTGCTTTGTCTAACATTACTTGGATATTATTAAATGTGAAACGTAAAGTGCAGTTCAAGGTATATTTTCATTCGGCACTCCCGAGCGGCAAGCCATCAGATATTAGTCAAAATTAAAATACTATTCTCTAAACAGCCTAGAATAACTTTTTCATTAATTTGAGCAATATTTTTGAGAAATTTTAAAACATATGTGACAGAGTATATAGAAGAAAGGAGATATATTTTGACATCGTTATGGTTGCTGAAATTTTATAAACCAAATCTGAAATAAAATTTAGAATCGCCATTTAAAAGAGCTTATTGAAACGCATAATAATTAAATTACTGTGTTTTAATTTTGATTTGGTTTTTGTTAGTTTAACCAAATGGTAATGTAATGTAACTAGACTTTTAAATAATTGTTTTTAAATTGGACTTCGAAAGTAATAAGCTATTAAAAAGACTTCTATTATTGTAAATAAAAGTGGTTAAGATCTATACTTAGTATAGCTGATTTTGTTAATTATAAATAATCACCACTAATTTTGAAATATGATTGATTTATATTTTAAGATCGGAGAATACGAAAGCAAAAAATAATCAGAACCACGAAGGAAGAATCAAGGAGGAAAACAAAAATAAGCGGGAACCTCGTGTTCAGGCCAGGAATACACCACAGCAGGGTGAACCTGTAAGTATTAATATCATACCAAATTTTTTTTAAGATAGATTCAAAAATATCATTTTTATCGAGAAACTTAGACCACCTTGAAGAATTTACTTAAATTTTAGGTAATATCATATATTTTTATTTACTACTATACTTTATAAAGCACACTCATATATGAGATGTTAATTTGCCTAAAATATATGAATCCATGTTAATTATTGTTATTATCAATATGCAACTAAATAAGTAATAAATCAGATAATTCTCTTTGTATTAGTTCCTTATAGATGACAGCTTCTATAAATATTTCAGTCCTCTATATATAGAATTAACCATGTTATGCACTACGTGATATTAAATATGATAATATTGTTATTTTTAATGCACTTTCAGATTTTGCAGTCTTCCAACAAATATTCTGGACTTGACGATGAATCATCCGAATAAAAACTATTTCTATATTTGTAATAAACGATTAAAATAAAAAAAATTAACGAACACATTTTACAAGTTAAAAATAAAATCACATTTTGAAACAAATCAACAATTAAATAAAATCAAAATTTCAACAATTTTGTATGTATTCACTTTCTAGTACTTTGGGACATCATCCATCGAAAGTTGGCATTTGCTTAGATGAATGGATTTTGGTAATATAGATAGTGCTTCTGTTCTCCTAGCCCTTGCTGAAATCATAATCTAAGCTTTTAACAATACATTTTTCTTTGTTGATTGGGAAATCACAGTTGAAAGACTTTTTCGGCATCTCTTATCATTGGATTGTCTATAACAGCAGTTGCTATGTTAGAAGTACAACAAAACCATGAAATAGTGAAATAGTGAAAAGAAAAACCCATTACATTCAGGATCATTGTTGAAGAAAACCATTGTCCACCAAGAGATGTTACTTGATGTCTTCTCCTGGCCAGCCACCAAACAAGTAATACGACCGATCGTCTCGAGCTCCATAACTAAAGTGATCATATTGCAATATGCAAGGAGAGCATGATAGGAATGCTCTAAAAAGCTCTCACAGTAGTAAAAAACACTCTCACTTCTCTCACATACAATGCAGTAAATTTTAATGATTTGTAGTCATACAGAGCATGACTCTTTTCTTAATATTACTTAGTGATAGCGATGATTAAGTCTGAGGAGTCCAAGTGGTAATTTTTATTAACGTTATTTATAAAATTTGTACATGAATTATCAAGTTTCTTTATTTTAGTGTAATAAAAACAATTTTGTTAACAATTTGTAACTTTGTAAATTCAGAGAAGGGCACGATAAATATCGTGGTATTTTGGAAGCTATATTCTTCGTCTTTTATCACAATTGCGGCATTACATTTCTTTATTATAAAAGATCCGAATAAGTGGTGTTAATCATAATCGAGCCAAATTATTGGTATTTAAATTTATATTTGTTGGAATGTCATCAATTCATCAAAATTGGTTTATGCCACATACATATTCATTCAAAATTCACTCGTAAAAGTGTTTCTCAACCCATCGAGGCAATGTAAAGGCAGCCTCATGGATATCACTTGAATAGTACTTCAAATTGAGAGCGTCTATTTCAGATTTTTCAAATTTCTTTGCTGGTTTTTCGAGCTTTCGGTTTGCATCCAGTGAGCCTATAATAAAGCCAATATGGCCACATGGATAAGATGGAACTGATGTGACGGCATAGCCCACTTTTGGAAAGTGCAGAGAACAGCCCTTCATTGTTTTCTTGACATAGTCGAAGTCTAGCCAGAAGCTGCCCGCTTGAGAGCATACAACGCCGCCTTCTTTCAGGGCTTGCTTCAACAATTCGAAATAGCTTTCATGGAACAAGCTTACGGCAGGTCCAACTGGATCCGAGCTGTCAGTTATGATTACATCAAATTCATTTTTATGATTTTTCATATACTCAAATCCATCGCCAATAGTTAAAACTAGCTTCTCGCTGTCAAATCCACACGCCATAGAGGGCAAGTACTTCTTAGAAACTTGGACAACACGATCGTCAATTTCTACTTGGTGGACCTCCTTAACTAGTGGATGTTTTACCACTTCGCGTGCTACGCCCCCATCACCGCCACCAACAATCAAAACCTTTTGAGGGTTTGGATGACAGCAAAGTGGCAAGAAGGATATCATTTCCTGGTAGGAGAACTCGTCTCTGGTAGTGCACTGAATGATTCCATCCAGTATCAGGCATCTTCCATATGTTTCACTGTGAATACAAAAATTTCAATTTGTATGTTTTTTTGAACTTCTTGAACTACAAAAATTAAATTTAAATATAATTAAAGAGCAAAACTTGAATTTATATGCCAGCTCATAGTGAGTAAAGTTTTATTTAAAGTAAAAAACAATATTTATTAT